TTTTGTCTCTTTACTCTGTGTAAATATATTATATCCTAATCCAACATTTTTCAGTCAGGTCATCTGGACAGATTCTTTTTTTTTTTGGTGCTGAAATGTTTTGCCTTCGGTCCAGAAGGCTTCATCAGTAAAGGAAACACACAACAAAACTGATTCTTCCCCCAACAGCTTACTCCAAAGTGGAACAAACCAGTTCTGCTTGTGATAAGATGGTTGTACCAAAGAGACTTTGGTTATTTCAGTTATTTATTTTAGGTTTCTTGTAAGATTGCACCACTTGCACATCAAACTGCCGTTTGAAATCAAATAGACTCTTTGTTGCGCTTCAATGAACAACTTTTCTTCCACAGTTTTAGCATCCCCAGCAATCCTCCTCCCAGATCCAGTCCGTTCTTTTTGTTCCTGCAGATGGATCATATGAGCCCATTTTTACCATTTGGGTCAAATGTTTGGAATCAAACAAGATCATAACCACATGATAAAAAGAAGAGATTACAGAGTGTGCATTACCTTCCTGGCACTGGATCGGCGTGTGGGGTGGCGATGCGACTCGTCAGCCAAGCAGAGCAGCGTCAGATGGGGGTGATGACATCACCAGGATCAGGTGCGCAGAGTCAGTGTTTGGCTCCTCTGCTTTTCTATAAAATAGCATGTTTGTTTTTGTGACATTGTGCAAGCAGTGTCGCACACAAGAAGTGCAGCTCGCTCACCTGTCTTTGAAACTTTGGCTGCGTCTCGGGGGTTCTGAGTACGTGGCCTCCTTTGAGGCCAGTCTGACCTTTATGCAAAGTCCTGTCTGCATCCCCTCAGTGTAGCCATTAATCGTCAAATGCCCCCTTTATGCGCGTTGGATTTCAGAGGCGCGAGGCAGGGAGTGTGACTAGCAGCGTGACAAAAATGAGTGGGATGTCTGGTGGAAGAGGAGGAGGAGGAGGAAGGAGGGGCACTGAGCAGAACAGAATCAGGGGTGTTGGTGCAACACAAAGACGAGAGCGGCAACTGTGCCTCTCTGCAGCTGTGGGGCCTACGTGAGCATCGGCAGGAACGCTCTCCTCGTCTCACCGCCCCTCCCGCACCCTCCCCCTCATCTCTCCCCCCCTCCTCCCCTCCGCTGCTCTCATTTGCACCTTCAAATAGACTTCTGAGGACCCTCTGCCTCCCTCCTTTTGTGCAAACGCTTCTTGCACTGTTCTCTCATTATGTCAGTCATAACTCCCTCGCTCTTCTCCCACGTCGTGTTTGCCAAGCGACGTGGACCCGGACAGGGAGAAACGGGCCTGTGCCCGGCCAGCCCAACAGATATCTGAGCCGGCTGAAAAGAGAGGGGGGGAGAAAAAGGAGGCGAAGATCTCGTTTCCCACACGCACACACAACCGGTCTGGCCTGAAATGACCTAGACAGAGACAACATACGTGTGCTGTGAACCACCTTTTTACTGCTGATGTGTCAACACGTGACTTGACAGCGGTAGCTTGAGGATGCGCGCAAACGCAGGCCAAGGTCAAAGGTGACAGTCACAGGATTGAGCAGAACGAGAAAAGTGGGAGGAGGAAGAGGCGAGAGGAGGAGGAGTAAAAGATGAGGAGACTGAGTGAATACAATGAAGACAAATGAAGGACAAAATCCCAAAGCAGAAGAGTTTATACATTGTAGAACTTGTGTGTGAACGGGGTAAGGTGATATCAGAGGAAAGTAAATCACAATAAAGAGATAAGCGGACTAACTGAATGGTTTGATTGTCCTTGTGCTGCAGAGCAGGTGCATTTTTTGGCAGCGGATGGAGACCAGAAGGCCTGCGTTGGCATCCACGCTGGAGGAAGAGCGAGGCTGACCTCTGCTGGCTCCATACAAATAAAGATCTTCAGTCAGTGCTGGACTGAAATCCACACCGAGCTGTTGCATGTAAAGCTAGCACAAATAATAATAATTAGCAGTCCTTGAGAAAGTGCATACCCACCATGTGGCATGCAAAAAATTCAAACAAAGCTCTTGAGAAATCTGTTAGTGCTCAAAGTTAGAACCTGTCTAGTAGATTGAGAGATATGTTGCTAACAATTCAATTCAGTTTAGCCAAATCACAACAGAAGTCATCTCAGGGCACTGAATAGAAACATCCATATACATAAAAAGTAAAGTTAACATTATTTATCTGAGGAGCAGACTGCTATGAATTTAAAAAATGATCTACACAGGATTGGGTTATTATTTATGTTTGTATTTTTATTAATGTTACGGGGCACCACCCTTATTTTTCAAGGGAATTAAAATCAGATCTCCAAAGAATAACCCACAGTATATCAGAGTTATTTCATGCTGTGACATCTACTTTATATCGAAACACACAAACACGTGTTTGTGTTAAAACACTACGCATGTGACATTTATTGAATGCATCAAAACAGTGATAGCATATGAAATAAAACTGGTAATGCTGAAAGAAAAAAGTGATGTAAAATAGCTTGTGAACTTTGAGAAGAAATGTTATCTAAATTTAGAGCTTAAAAAGAAGTCTGTACAACTTATCTGAGATTCGTGGACTAAAAATAAGGGTCGACTAAGCTGTCACTTTTCATTATCAGAATGTTTTTATTATCCTTGCACAATGAAGTACAACAAAATTACTTTCCATGCAGCCGTCCTAAAGATGGACAGAAGGTGCTGCAGCTTCAAAGATGTGCTGTCCCTGTTGCTTATAAGAAAAAGGAAGAAAAGATAAGGAGGTATAAAAAAAAAGATCTCTCACACCGTGTCCTAGACAGGGCACAGTTTGAGGCAAAAAAAAACAGCAAAGCAACATAAATAGACATAATACATGCGAGTGGAGTGGGTAGGGGGGTGGGGGTCCCAGCATGGCCACAGGTGAGCGACGCAGCCCTTGGTGCCTTCGCATCTCTTTGGTTGCTGAGTCAGGGGAGGAAAGGAAGGCCAGTGGAGGCACGGAGTTTGAGGAAAGGTTGTAAAAAGATTCACAAGACAAAGAGCAAAGCAGGGACGGAGCAGAGGAGGACGTGTCTGTCTTCCACCGACAGCAAACAAACAAAAAAAAGATTTTGAGGTAGTTTTTGTCGAATTAGAAGGAAATTTTATTTCCTACGAGGGTCGTAGCTTCTCATTAACGTCTGGGGATGCTGAGCAGAAAGGCGGTCTGTCCTGGGAGTGGATAACGGTGAACTCTAACAGGAAATGCCAAAATTTTAGGGAAAGATGCCACCTCATGTGTTGTGAATGACCGTCAGCTACTACCACTTCAAATTAGATTTCAGTTCCTGTAAATTAACTAAACGTTAGTGTTGACGGATGTGAATTAACTGAGGCAGCTACTTTAAATTGGGGTGACTTCGAAAATTACTCATAGATGTACATACAGTATTTGTTTGTAAAAGCTTAACGTTTTTTCTAACAAACAGGATTGACGCCAACAATTAATGTTAACATTTTAAGCAAAGATGCCGTGCATTTGGACGATCCCAGTACTTTCAGGTTAGTGCTTTCTTAAGACCATTCATAAAACAAACACACAAAAATCAAATATACAGTCAAGCCTCAAGTGTTTATCTTCTCTAAACTACAGATTTTTTTTTTATCTTCAATGCTTTCCACAAGCTTTCATGTCTACCCATGTTGTGTTCAGAACCATAAAAATATAGATTATCTACACATGGAGATAGCACAGCTGTGATCTGCCATACGTCACACTGTAAGTTTCTTCTAGATGAATGTGTAAAGGAAAGCTGAGCAGCTTTTCTGGTGCATGAACAGAGTAAAACTATGCACAGAAAAGCAGGACTGAGCTCCCAGCTGTCTCGTGAGAGATCACTTCAGGTTACCACGTTCAAAAAGAAAGAAGTGAAAGCTAAAACAGGAAAAGCAAAGTTTTCCAACAACATTTCAGTTTGAGGTTTAGGTTTAATTGAAGTCATGTGACTCAGGAGGAAGTGTGCCAATCGGAAGGTTCGTGGTTCGATCCCAGCTTCTCCAACCCACAAGTTGCTCCACAATTTGCAAATGGGCGTGTGAATGTGTGTTAAGAGCAGCAGTACACAACTACAGCATCCCATTACAGAACATAGAAATGCAGCAACATAGAGTCTGAGATGTTTCTCCACACCTCCAAAGACCAAGCTGATGACCTCTGGATGCGTCTCTGCAGAAACCAACATCAACCCAGACTCCACCTCACAACCCAAAGAGAATAAAGAAATCCCTGCAACAGACTCCAAAACAGGCATGTTCTGATCCGCCCGGGCTGAGTGGGTGGGACGATCACTAACAGGTCATAATGTTATGGCTGATCGGTGCATTACATCACTCAAACACACACATACGCACAATTTTTAAAAGCATCAACGAAGAACTACTGTACTACACAAAACCTGAGCTCAACGACTAAAACTGACCGAGTTGTAGCCGTTTCTGCGTTTGCTGAGGTCTTGACTGTGGCGGCCATCTTGAATTGTGTTGACTCCAAAAGCTAATCCATCCAGTGATTGGTTTCTGAGTTTCATTAAAATCTGACCAGTGGTCAATGAGATATTTTGCCAACAAACAGAAAAACAACCACACACAGATCGAGGCAGTTACATGATCTCCCACCAGCATGGATACGGAGTACTCTACCCCCATGTTATAGTTATTTTATTACTTTTTGCTCTTTGACAGTTTGTTTTTGGAGGTCACTATAAAAAAAAAGTCAGAGCAATATTACTTTATAAAATCTATTTTTTTATTCCATGTGTAAAAATTAAACAATGTTCATAACTGCCACAATCTGAGACTTTCTTTTCTTTTTTCTAAATAAAATACAATTTTTTAAAAACTGTGACTTACTCTCACTGCTGAACATAAAGCTCAATTTCTTTACAAGAACTGTTTTAACAGGAGCAATGGAGGCTACAAATGCTATTCAGGATTAGCTGAAATATAAAAATCATCATTTTTTTATAAATTCTGCTACAAAAGAAGTTAAAAAGAAGTTCCAAAAAAAATAAAAATCGATGTCCCAGAATAAAAATCATTGTGATATGTGGCTGTAGTTCCATTACTTTGGTAAAGAGCATATTCATTTTGAGGTAGTAAAATAAATTCTTCGAGAAGGCAGATGGTGTGTGTTTTGATCAAAATAAACCCCATAAGAGCATTTCTAGTCAGGCTAAAACAATTAAAAGACAATGAATGATCAAAGGAAGCCCTGAGGAACGCCGTTTTCCTCTGGATGGTGGGCAGGGCCGCGGAGTTTGGCTCCTCTGTTAAAGTGGTGGAACGGTAGTTTTGCAGGTGCAGAAACATACCACATGACCACGCCTGTGGGGTTCACTGACACATCGAACATCGTGGAGTCAGTCAGCACATCGGTCTCATCAGTGTAAACATTGTGGATCTGCAGAGAAGGCAGGAAACAGATGGCTGAAATATTAATCATGACTTGGTGTCCAGTGGAGTAAAGACAAGTTAGTTCGTCACAGAGTCCCTGGGTTTAGTGCTTGGACCAATTCTCTTTACCTTGTCTATGCTTCCATTAGGTAAAGTTATTAAACAGCATGGGATACATTTTCATTGTTATGCTGATGATACACAGTTATATTTCTCCATGAAACCCAATGAATCCAATCAGCTACTTAGACTACAAGCATGTCTTAAAGACATAAAAAGCCTGGATGACCCTAAATGTTCTGCTTCTGCACTCAGACAAGAATGAGGTTTTAGTTTTTGGACCTGAGCATCTTAGGAATGAATTTTTCAGTCTTTTGTCCTCCTTAGATGATATTAATCTGTTCTCCAGCTCTAATGTTAAAAATCTTGGTGTTATTTTTTTTATCAGGACATGTCTTTTATCCCCCACATTAAAAACGTTACTAGACCCGCTTTCTTCCACCTGCGTGATATCACTAAAATTAGAAACATCTTATCTAAAAATGATGAAGAAAAATTGGTCCATGCATTTGTCACGTCTAGACTGGACTGTTGCAATGGTTTATTATCTGGGTGTCCAAATACTTCTTTAAAACGTCTTTAGTTGATCCAAAATGCTGCTGCCAGAGTCTTAACTGGAGTTAGTGGGAGAGATCATATCTCTACAGTTTTAGCTTCTCTCCATTGGCTCCCTGTCAAATCCAGAATTGAATTCAAAATCTTACTTCTAATCTACAAAGCTCTCAACAACCTAGCTCCATCTTACAGTGGGGAGAACAAGTATTTGATACACTGTTGATTTTTCAGGTTTTCCCACTTGCAAAGCTTGTAGATGACTGTAATTTTTATCATAGGTACTCTTCAACTGTGAGTGATGGAATCTAAAACAAAAATCCAGAAAAATACAATGTATGATTTCTAAATAATTAATTTCCATTTTATTGTGTGAAATAAGTATTTGATCATCTATGAACCAGTAAGAATTTTGGCTCTCACAGACATGTTAGTTCTTCTTTAAGAAGCCCTCCTGTTCTCCACCCATTACCTGTATTAACTGCACCTGTTTGGACTCGTGACCTGTATAAAAGACACCTGTCCACACACTCAATCAATCAGACTCCAGCATCTCCACAATGCCCAAGACCAGAGAGCTGTGTAAGGACATCAGGGATAAAATTGTAGACCTGCACAAGGCTGGGATGGGCTACAGGACAATAGGCAAGCAGCTTGGTGAGAAGGCAACAACAGTTGGTGCGATTATTAGAAAATGGAAGAAATACAAAATAACGGAAAATCTCCCTCGGTCTGGGGCGCCATGCAAGATCTCACCTCGTGGAGCATCATTGATCTTGAGGAAGGTGAGGAATGAGCCCAGAACTACACGGCAGGACCTGGTCAATGACCTGAATAGAGCTGGGACCACAGTCTCAAAGAAAACAATCAGTAACACTCTGCGCCGTCAAGGATTAAAATCCTGCAGTGCACGCAAGGTGCCCTTCCTCAAGCCAACGCATGTCAAAGCCCGTCTGAAGTTTGCAAATGACCATCTGAATGATCCAGAGGAGGAATGGGAGAAGGTCATGTGGTCTGATGAGACAAAAATAGAACTTTTTGGTTTAAACTCCACTCGTCATGTTTGGAGGAAGAAGAATGATGAGTACAACCCCAAGAACACCATCCCAACCGTGAAGCATGGTGGTGGAAACATCATTCTTTGGGGATGCTTTTCTGCAAAGGGGACAGGACGACTGCACCATATTGTGGGAAGGATGGATGGGCCATGTATCGTGAGATTTTGGCCAACAACCTCCTTCCCTCAGTAAGAGCACTGAAGATGGGTCGTGGCTGGGTCTTCCAGCATGATAACGACCCAAAACACACAGCCAGGGCAACTAAAGAGTGGCTCCGTAGGAAACATCTTAAGGTCCTGGAGTGGCCTAGCCAGTCTCCAGACCTGAATCCCATAGAAAATCTTTGGAGGGAGCTTAAAGTCCGTGTGGCCCAGCGACAGCCCCGAAACCTGAAGGCTCTGGAGGAGATCTGTATGGAGGAGTGGGCCAAAATCCCTGCTGCAGTGTGTGCAAACCTGGTCTAGAACTACAGGAAACGTCTGATCTCTGTAATTGCAAACAAAGGTTTCTGTACCAAATATTAAGTTTCATTTTTCTGGTGTATCAAATACTTATTTCACACAATAAAATGGAAATTAATTATTTAAAAATCATACATTGTATTTTTCTGGATTTTTGTTTTAGATTCCATCACTCACAGTTGAAGAGTACCTATGATAAAAATTACAGTCATCTACAAGCTTTGCAAGTGGGAAAACCTGAAAAATCAACAGTGTATCAAATACTTGTTCTCTCCACTGTATATTCGAGATCTTGTTGTTCCATATTTTCCTAACAGAGTACTTCGCTCTTAGACTGCAGGTTTACTTGCAGTTCCTAGAGTTTCCAAACGCAGAATAGGAGGCAGATCTTTCAGTTATCAGGCTCCTCTCTTGTGGAACCAACTTCCAGTTTCTGTCCATGAGGCTGAGACATTGTCCAGTTTTAAGACTGGACTTAAGACTTTTCTTTTTGATAACTCCTATAGTTAGGGTTGGCTTGTTGTGCTGCCTTAAGCTTAGACTACTAGAGGACAAATTGACCTCATTTCCTTAAATGATTTGCTAAAATTTAATAGTTTTCATTTGATACTAATTCTATCTTAACATGTGATTCTTGACCTGCCATTGTGTATCTATTCCTCTCAAACCCAGCCAGTTGAAGCAGATGACCACTTGTCCTGCTGGTTCTGCTAAAGGTTTCATCCTCATGAGGGAGTTTTTCCTTTCCACTGTCGCCTTCATGCTTGCTTAAGATGAGTCTGTGCTGAAATTAAACTCAAAGCAGTCTGCTTCTCAGATAATGTTACATTATTATTTTTAAAATATGAATATTTCTGTTTAGTCTAACCCTAACCCTGAGACGACTTCTGTTGTGACATGGCGCTATATAAATTAACTGAACTGAATTGAAATTGAATGCCGAGTCAGCACTTAAGTGTTGTTTGCCTGATTTTTTTTTTATTTTTCCATATGTTTTATCCCCATTCTAACTACTTCTGCTTACTTTGTGCTATTTTTGCAGTTCATATATCAAAACTTTTAGCCCAATCAAGAGGTTCAAATAACTTTTGTTTTTTGTAACTTTTATACTTTTAAAAATATTAAAGTTTATTTAAAATAAAATGTCCTGTAGAATCACAGTAAGAACTCTTAATCCTTCAAAAACATTGTTCTCTTTAAAACTTGCTTCAGAACACTGGCTATGTTTTATCCTTCTTATGCACCTTTTAGTTTTTAGCTATGGTTTAGCTACTTTTAGCATTTAGTTAGCCATTTGCTACTGTTAGTTTTTAGCTATTGCTCTGTTACATTTAGCTTTTAGCTAGCCTTTTGTGACTTGGTTTTAACTTACGTTCTGCTACATTTCAATTAAAGCTAAAATATAGCTACTTTTAGTTTTTGTCTACCGTTTTGCTACATTTAGCTTTTAGCTACTGTTCTGACATTTTTAGCTAACCTTTTGCTACTTTAAGTTTTTTGCTAATATTCTATTACGTTTAGGTTTTGGCTAGCATTTTACTATTTTTAGTGAGCTGTCAGCCAGACTTTTAAAAACTTTCACATTTTACCTAATGATTTGCTACTGTTAGCATTTAGCTAATGTTCTTCTTTTAGCTTTAACCACTCAGTTTTAGCTTATCGTTCACAACTCAACACTCGCACTGCGTATTTAGAAATAAAAATCTCTGGCTGACAATAACTTTCTGGAAAGTTAGGTATATTAGTGATGCAACAGTAATGTTTAGATGTTTTTATCACATTTAAAAAGTGAGAAATAATCAAAATTGATGATGAAATGATCAACTATTGGACCGAACATCAAAAGTTCTTAAAGCAGTTAACACATAATCTGGAGTTACTAGTTTTCAAATAATGAAAAGAAAAGTGAACTAAGAAATCAGAACCAGAAGTCGTTTTGAAATTAAACACATTTTTTCTTGAAGAGGTGCACACCACCCGTTACATAAAAAGATTATATTAAAACAGGACTAGAATAATCTAATAAAGCTCCAGATATGAGATGGGGATGACTCCAAAGATCGGAGATCAATGTCTGTCAAAAGGACTGTCTGTGTGTTTCAAATGATCATTGTGAATAAAATTAACTACAAAAGGTTTTGCTCACCTTTCATGATGGTGGGTGTTAGTTAGGACATACCTTGTAGCTGCCGGCAGTGTAGTTGAGTTTTTGGAGGGAAGTCTTGTAGCGATAAGGCATGTCGGTACGGCGGCTGAAGAAAACTAAAGCGCTGGCATTCTTTGACAGGGAGCGCCAGTACACATCAATGCCACTCTTCTCCTAGAAAACAAAGCGCAGAGTTATGAACGACTTCTCCTCATGGCTTCTATCGTTTTAAGTAAGGACCACCATTTATATAAAGGTGCTTTACCTTCAAAATGCATCTTCCCTGGATGCCCAACGGATCCTGGTTGATGCTGATGATCATTTTGTTCTGCAGGATGCTCCGGGCCTCGCCGCTGATGACGCGAAGGTCGGTGGACATGAAAAGAGGAGCAGCCATGATGGCCCACAGAGCCATCTGACTGCGAGACTGTTCCAAGCTGAGGCCAAAGTCACCAACTATCAGCTGTGGGCAGCAAAAATCAGAGAGGATGAAACTGAAGAATCTTACAGGACGAGAAGTCTCGAGTCATTCTTGACATTTAGTTACCAAGAATCCAGATGTTCTTGTAATCTTTTAACATGGGCTTGACTGAGTAGGTGTTTGGGCTTCCTGAAGGTCTCTCAAAAGTTACTTTTTGGACTTTGGCTGCTTTTTCACTCATTTTCAGTCCATTACATGATCATTTTCAGATGTCGTGTTTCGGGGAGTTGTTTGGACTTTAGTCCAACATCTCTTAAGTGCAGACTCTGGCTATGAAATTCTATAGCAGACCCTACACACCAGATATCGCTACTTGTGAACAACAAATGAAGGTTTGTCTTTTTTTATGCAAATAGGATGAACCAATATTGCGTTTGGATTTTTAGCTTGTACTTAGCTTAAGTACTATCTGGCTAGTCCATTAAAGTTGCATGATAAAGCACTAGCTAATAAGCTAGTAACTGCCAAGCTATTAACTAGTACTTATCCTGCTAGATAGTACTGTATTTTCCGGACTATAAGTTACACTCTTCATAGTTTTGCCAGTACTGCGACTTATAGTCCAGAAAATATGGTAAGTCATTATATATGTTGTCATGCATTGCTAATAACTCACTAGCTAGCAATCTCACAAAAACAATTCACCATTTTTAGTTGAGTCTACAAAAAATACTAAAGATAGATAACACAGACTAAAGATAAAAATGTATTTTTGGTTTTGTAATATACAAAGCGCTGTTAGCTGAAAAGTTAGCGTACAATAATTGCTACATCAACGGACAGATGGCGCCTCTCTCAGGTTATGTGCAAAGTCTTTGCTCAAAATTGTATATTTTCTTAAAGACATGACTTTCAGATATTGTTCAGCTGCTGTCCATCATTTGTTTGAGAGCTGGCAATTCTTTGTTATAATCCGTTTTTTGTCCAGTTTTCTTCATTTTTTTCAAGCACATGCTACGTGCTGTCATGCTCAGGTACAAGGATGGAAGAGAACGAGTGGATCGCAAATGAAAACTAAAGAAAAACGGAACAACCTCGAGAAAGACTGAAAAATCATTGATCGTGACTACTTTGAAGGATTTTAAGAAAGTCTGCTTCTTGACGGCAAAATATAAATAAATTAAAAGTTGTTCAAACCGTTGCAAAGCCTGATACCTTTGAACTATTTCAAACATAACGCATGTTTTCTGTGTCAGTGTGAACTCTAATTTCCAGGAACTCCATCCCTAACAGAGCTTCTTGAAAATATTTGGATGCATGTTTTTACTTTCATCCACATCTTCTTTATTATTGGATATCTGAGTAGGGCTGAATGATTTTGGAAAATATTTTAATTGCAATTTTTTTTTTTTTTTTTACCTGAATATTGCGATTGCGGTTTAATATGCGATTATTTTTCAGTCTTCTTCTCGTGTATTTTTCAACGAACACAAGCAATAAATGAATCCGTTTCAGTTGAAAAAAAAACTCCACTGTTTTCAGCTCCGCTGCAACTCTGTTTCTGCATGTTTTTGTATAGCTCCAGGATAGCAACTTGTCTAAAGCGTGTGCACGAGGTCATTCTGTACCTCTTATCCATTGTGTTTGTCAAAGCTGTAAACTCAGGATTGATCACTATACTAATGGGCATCATGTCTTTCGCTATGAACTCCGTTCTTGCTCGAGTTATTTCCATGTGCTGTTTCGAATTATGTTCATACAAAGTAATACCTTCGAACAGTTCGGTCAGTGATCCCTGTCGGCTGGTACTTTGATTACTTTAAGTTGAAGCACTGCTCGATGGCATTATGGCCATGCAACTATCGTAAATGGCTTTGTGGTGTTTTTGTAAGTATTGATAAAGATTTGTGGTGTTACAACAGCAGCAAGGCATGTTCTGCACAATACATGTCGTTGAGCAGCGTCTTCTTTTTTTATAGACAAAATAATTCCAAACAACAGACGTGCTGCTCCTCTTTGGTACCATTCAGATGTATCAGCTTCTGTCAAGCCTGACGTCATTGTGCAACCGGTTAAAGTGCAGTGTTGACTTCTCCCGCTCCCTGCTCTGGTCACTTGCAAGTCACGTAACCAGATGACGTGACCAGTCAAATTGCAGCCTTTGCGATTAGAAAATCTCATTTTATCATATTGCGATATTATTGCAAATGCAATTAATTGTTCAGCCCTATATCTGAGGTTATCTTATCAGCTGGTGTGACATTATGATATTATTTGCTATAAAACCAACCGTGTTGGGAATAGACAGCTAAAATGTGGAAATGAGAGAAACAAACCATGTCAGGATCGTTCCACTTTCCAGGTCCCGCTGCAGGGGTCAGGGTATCCTGGTTTGCGAAAACCCAGTCAATAATCATCAGCACGCTGCTCCAAGAGTCCTGGATGTCGCCATAGTTACGCCACAGGTTACAGATCTCACCCAGCTGAGTGTAATTTACCTGGAAACATCCATTTCACATGACTTGACAGTAAAAACATGAATTAGGAGTACAGCTACATGGTCTGTACTTTGAATATTTTTACTGACACAAATGATGAATTAGTTTGAGTGCTTGACTGATTATACCTTTGGTGGCAGGCCGCCCTGGTAGGCAGGCCAGCTGCAGGAGTAGGCGATGGGTCGACCTGTAGAGTTTAAAGCCTTTGACATGAGAGGATAACCTGCCAGGAACAGTGATAAGAGTAAAAAAAAATTCACCACCGAAACAACATGTTTTAATGTTTCATCTTCTCACCCTCTGCCTGATCTGTAGCGTTGGAATAACAGCCATCAAATTTAAGCATGTCCACTTCCCATTCTGCGAATGTCAAAGCGTCTAAATATATCTTGTCCACCGGGGTGCCGGGGTAGCCCATGCAAGTGTGAGTGCCCATGTCACCGTAGATACCCAGTTTGAGACCCCTGTCATGCATGTAGCGTGACAAATGTTTGATTCCCCCAGGAAACCTAAGAGGGTTAATCATAAAAACATTTGAAAAGGTGTTAGCGCTGCAGGACTCAAAGTTTTCTGCTTTACAAAGAGTTATTCAATAAAATGGTTAAAAAGTTAGTTTCATTTGAATAGATTCTGCTCCATTTTATGAGGAATTCAAAATGTATTGTTACACTTGTGCTGACACTGCATATCGCTATCTACAGAGAAGCTGCTGAGTCACGTGTTTTATGAAGTTATATGATCGCTACTTTCCCTCCTTTTGTTTTATTGGTTTGTTTTTGCACCGAGGGACTACGTTTCATGTACACTCAAAAAATAAACCGTGTTGAATTAACATAAATGTGAGAAAAATATATTTCAAGATGAAGTACTTGTGCTGCTTTAGCTTCATAATCCTTTACAACAGATTATTAATAAACGCTACTAGGGCGGAGTCTAATTTTAATAGGGTGAGTCAAACAACTTTTTTCTGTAAATGTTTTCCTTTTAAGACAGTGTGAATTGCAAACAAACAATAAAGAAGCTGACTCCGTCCTACAAAAAATGTTATAATCCAACCTGCAATTATTTATTTAAAATGACACAAATGTCTAATAAAAAGAGAAAGAAAAGTAGAAACTTTAGGGAAATTTGTTGCCTTTTGTTAGAGGTACAACCAACTAGAATAACTTGTTCAACAAACCTAAACTTCATACAGTAATTATGCTACAGTGCAGCATTCTTTTATGTTAATTTTAGGTTAGGTTATAGGCTGACATGCTCCTTGGTTAATTTTTTTAGTGTACCTCTTCGGGTCGGCCTGCAGCCGTCCCTTCTGGTCTCTGTCCCTCAGGGACCAGCAGTCATCGATGTTCACGTAGACGTAGCCGAGTTCCCTCCAGCCGTCCTCAGCGAGTCTGTCTGCCATGTCAATGAACAGGTTCTCACTGGAAGGACAAGAGCAGAGTGTCACAGTGATCAGAACATAAGATCTAACAAAATCATGCTGCATTTGAGGAAAATTGTTTAAAAGCCCAATCCAGACCGGTCTCTTCTTGGTAACCATCACCACTTTTCCATGTTTTCCTGGAGTATTTACATTCAAACTGTGTAATAATTTTGTTTTTAGGGATCATCACAGTGTGTGTAGCTCACCTTATGCAGTTCTTGGGATCATTATCACAGTCGGTGTCACAGCGGTACCGCTCCCACGCCAACCAGCCCATCGGAGGGGTCCTCATCAGTCCATTGTCAAGGGCAAAGGTGGTCACAGTGGCCACGGAGGCAAAAACAAGCACTGCAAGGTTCATTCCTTGAGAGAAATTGACAAATGTCAGCTACTGAACAACGTCAAGGAAGAAAAGACACAACGAACGAAAGGTTGAGCACAGAGAGTCATGCAGTAAGTACAGTAGCCACATCCTAAATTCTTTGTCATCTTTATAGGAACCTCCTGACTCTCACCTGACTATAGGTGTGACTGCATGAACCTGCTGGGTAACATCTTAGCCCGTCACCTGACTAATAAATACAAAATGATAACTAGCCAACTACATTAACATATAGAAGGCTGTGTTTGTACCCCAAGTGCAGCTCTTTAGTACAGAATATTTTAAACCTTCAAGTGACTCAAAGACCAGAATTTAATAATTGAACTGGACTGAATAATTTGAAAGAATTGTATCTATCTATCTATCTATCTATCTATCTATCTATCTATCTATCTATCTATCTATTTATCTATCTATCTATCTATCTATGTATCTATGTATCTATGTATCTATATATCTATCTATGTATCTATCTATCTATCTATCTATCTATCTATCTGTCTATCTTTATATCTATCTTTATATCTATCTATCTATCTATCTATCTGTCTATCTTTATATCTATCTTTATATCTATGTATCTATCTATGTATCTATCTATGTATCTATCTATGTATCTATCTATGTATCTATCTATGTATCTATCTATCTATCTATCTATGTATCTATCTATGTATCTATCTATGTATCTATCTATCTATCTATGTATCTATCTATCTATCTATGTATCTATCTATGTATCTATCTATCTATCTATGTATTTATCTATCTATCTATCTATCTATCTGTCTATCATCTATCTGTCTATCTTTATATCTATCTATCTATCGATCGATGTATCTATAGATCGATACTTTAATCCCAGGGCAGGGGTGAAATATGCCGGTAAGTGAACTTTAAGTAAGTATAAAATCACGAATAGTTAGTTAAATAAATATTTAACTTACTGAGCTGGAGGGAGAATCGGCCTCCGGTCTTAGATTTTAAAAGAAGAGACAAAACAAAACAAAAAAAAACCCCGAAGGAGCAAAGATTCAGCTCTCCAACAACTTGAGCTGCTGCTGCCGAATCGAGGAAGTACAAATCATATGACGAGGCGGAGCCGTCACGTGCCTATGTTTCTGGTCACGTGACCACCCATCGGAAAGGAGAGGTCCCGTGAGATTTAAATCAGAAAGTTGTAAAAACAATAACTCCCCACTAAACATTAGACGTCGAATGGATGTGCAGATCACGTTTATATTGAGTCCGTCGGTCTAGACCAATTCTGGACGTCTCCACGACGTGCAAACAAGGTCCACTTGGGACGTCTAACCATGACGTCACTTGTACGTCGTTATAAAGTCGCATGTTTGAACGTCGGACTTGGAGGTCGTATAGACATTCAAGACAGGTGCAGGTGTGCCTTAGTGCCTTAATTTTTATAACCATAAAATTTACAATCATAAATTATTCATAAAAGAGTAACGTGCACACTTACTCTTTTATGATTATTAATTTGCACGGCTTCATTCATAAACCAACTGTTGCTATTTTCTCTCGAAGCTATTTCTGTTAATCCAGTAAAGAGGATAAAGGAAAAAAAAAATTAAGGAGTGATTTATTTGTAAATCTTAGTCCATCTGTTTCTAGTGACATTTAAGGAGTGATTGTATAATAGATGGTCAAATACACTAATTATTTAATTTTGTTTTCTGCACAGAGATGGTGCAGCAGCAGAGCAGCCGGACTTGAACCCGAAGGCCCTGGGTTTGATCCCCAGTCAATCCAACATCCATGTGAGGGTGAATGTTTTAACCACTGCATTGGAACATACAATGAAGACAACACGAAGCACTTACTAATTATTATTATTATCTGAAGTGAAAAAAAAAAAGTTAAATTTTGATGTAGAAAATACGTCTATATTGACCGTCCAGTGGACGTCGGAAAAAGACGTCATCTGTTGTAACAGTCTGCACCTGGAGGGACCCAAATTAGACGTGCAAAAACGACTTCAAAAAGACGTCATATAGACGTCTCCTTGCTCAGTGGGTCTTCTTAAGAAATTTAACTTTATCTCATAAATAGACCCCTTTGGTATATTTTTTTTTCACTTTTATTTTTGTTTTTGTTGTAACAGACCAATTATTATATGAATCTGAATGTATTTTTGCATATTTGTTAAGAAAATAGTAGTGTTTGTATAGACTAATGGGTACACATTATTTTATTTTACTCATTTATGTATAACTTTATTTCACTTTTTTACTGTATTTGTTTTATCAATATTGCCAATGTCTGTGGTTATTATTTATATATCATATTATATTCCTCTCTTTATTATTTTTTCTTTAATGTAATCTGATATTACTTATTGGGTTGAAGATCTTTATATGTAATGTTTTTTGTTCGAAATACTGTACTGTACATTTTTTGGGGTTAAAAAAGGGTCCCGTGAGAAAAGTACCTTTTTTTCACGTGATCAGGGTCTGTGGGTTTGTTTATTGCATGTACTGTATTTTCTGGCGTAAAAGTCGCAGTTTTTTTGCATAAATTTGTCAGTCCTGCGACTTCTATGCCGAAGTGACTTATATACTTTTTTCTCCATATTAACACAATTTTTGACTGACGCTTTAAATTTCAAAGAACTGCAACAGCAAGTAATCTTGTGTGCACTGGTTTCACTCAGCTGGTACACTGTAATAAGTGACACCACCAATTAGTTATCATAACTTGTTTCTATAATTGACTTCAATTTAACATTATGAGTTATGAAATTTCAGCTTAATATCATGAGTTATTGGCATTGCAACTTATGGCTGTAAGCCAGTACAATGAAATGTAAATTTTAGTGTGTCAACATAATTTAAAAATCTGAGTTTTAAAATAGTAACCGGATCTTTTAAAAAAAATGACGATGATCACTTGCGTGGCGGCAATATTAATGTGCGTGCAAACTGTAACGCCTGTTTTATGTTTTATTTTTCATTAGAAATAGTTCTTGTAACAGTTAGTTATTTTCTATACATAACACTTTCTGCATTTGTGCTGAAATGTTCTTAAAAAATAAAAAACATCACTCTCAGGGTTGTCTTGAACTAATTTTTTTTTTTTTAAACTCATCACTCTCAGGGTTTTGCGAGACTGATCTTGTCGCACTTTACGTTGGACTGTTTATGAGAGATGATGGCTGACTGTATTTAAAATCTGAGCATGAACTCAAAGATTTGAGAGAGCACATAGAATATTTGAAACAGAGCAGAAGTTTTAAGTGCAAGCATTACAAGTTCTGAGAACAAAGAGTTAAATTCCTGCTTTCAAAACGAAAATGTTTGCTCTCGACTTATGTCAGTAAAATTCCCCATTATATGGTTAGAATGTTCCCATTGAACATGGTCTAACGTTTTTGTTTTGGAGATACATTCTGATTTTATACTGGTTTTAAGGCTTGTCTCAACTGTATTTGATGGAGAAAGTCTGGAAAATAAATGTTATTGAACATGTGAGTTGTAAGTGTATTCTGTGATTTTTTTTTAAGGAAACTCATGAACTTGCCATTAATAGTGGAGAAAGGGGATTAGATTTGAAAATGTTTGTTAACTTAAATTGCAATTTTATGTTCAGTTGCTGCCTTAAAAACATGAGTTAACATAACTTGTAAAGGTAAATCACATGAATATAGTTGAATGTAAAATGTAAGTTGAAACGATATACAAGTGTACGTTACTTTAACAAGAGAAAGCTAGTTTTCTTCAATGGATAATATAACTTTGTGAGTTGTTTTAACTCGGGAGTACAAGTTCAAACATGTTGTAATTCATTAGACAACTGGTATAACTTAACTATGTGAGTTGTTACAACATATAATTTTAAGTTTCCTTGACAAGAGTAATCAATTTTTTTGAAAGCAATAATGTTCTATGGTGAGTCATTTCAATTAATAGTATCGAGTTGAAACAATAAATTAGCATCAATTGGACAACTTTTATAACTTGTATTTCTAAGTTGAAAAAAAAGCTTCATCTTAAGTTGAGTTTACTTATGTTTTTAAGGCAGCAGTTGAACTTAAATTTTTAAGTTAAACCACCCTAATGTTTTTTACGGTGTACAGGCAGAGGAACGCTGGAGAGCTAGCTGCTCCAGCTGCAGTGGATGGATGGATGGATGGATGGATGGCACCACACCACCTAGGCAAAATAAAGCTGTTTTGACTATTAAATAAACACATAATAAATGCGACTTATACGCCCAAACGACTTATATATGTTAGTGAGTGTGAGTGGGGTCCTTCATGATGCAGGTGGCCCTCTTTCTGCATCTGGAGGTGTAAATGTCTGTGATGGTGGGGAGTCTGACTCCAACATCTTCTGTGCAGCCTTCACCACTCTCTGCAATGCTTTTCTTTCTGCAGCTGTGCAGCCTCCATGCCACACGTTGATGCTGGAACACAGGATGCTCTCCACTGCACACCTGTAGAAGGAGGTGAGGACTGAGCATTATAGAAAATCATTTTGTGTAATTCATTCAACCTTTATTTAGACATCCATCCATCCATCCATTATCTTTACCCGTTTATTCCATTTTGGGTCACGGGGGTCGCCGGTGCCCATGTCCAGCAATCACTGTGCGAGGGGTGGGGTACACTCTGGACGGGTCGCAAGTCCATCACAGGGCCACACAGAGACAAACGAGACAAACAATCATTCACTCCCTCACTCACACCTAGGGACAATTTAGAGTTACCAATCAGTCTAACATGCATGTTTTTGGACTGTGGGAGGAAACCGGAGCACCCGGAGAAAACCCACGCATGCACGGAGAGAACATGCAAACTCCACCCAGAAAGGCCCCTGGACCGGGGTTTGAACCAGGGACCTGCTCGCTGAGAGGCAGCAGCTCTACCAGTTGCGCCACCGTGCTGCCCAGGTTAAACCCATCTAAATAATAAGAAGTAATGTTGCTCATCACTGTGAAGCTTGGGGAGTATAGTGCCGGAATTCTCAATGACATTACTCCATACCAATACAGTGTTCAAACAGTCACTATTATTATTATTATAAACAAAACTAGCTAACTATTTCTCCAATTTTTTATTTCTTTCCGCCATTAAATAGGTTTCCCTCGATGTAAAGTAATAATAGTTGCACACACAAAAAAAAAAATCACTAGGGTTTTTCAGTATGGTAATTTTTACTGAAAGTATAAAATCCTTGTGTTAGAGTGAGAGAGTGAATGGTTGTTTGTCTCGTTTTTCTCTATGTCTCCCTGTGATGGACTGGAGACCTGTCCAGGGTGTCCCCCATCTCTTGCACAGTGATGGCTGGACATGCGCACCGGCGACCCCCGTGACCCAAAATGGAAGAAGCCGGTAAGATAATGGATGGATGGATGGATGGATTGAAATTGCTCCCTTTTTTTTTTAAGTTAATTTTTAAATGTCCAGCAGGGGTCGACCTTACGCAATACAATATCTACCATTTTGAAATTGCTGTACTCCCACTGAAAATGCGTTTACTCTGTTAAGCGTTTTAACCAAAACTTAGCCTTTATTTTGAAGGATGTGGCACAAATTGTTTTCTGATAGGCTCTGCTGAATGTGACGTCACCAGGAAAAGGAGGAGCTTGTGAGCCCAGCAGGTGGAAACTACGGAGCAGTGAAACATGGCGGAAACAAGTAAGATAATATCACAAACACCGTCTGCAGAAAAAGCTGCAGTCTCAGGGAAAGAGACTTTTAGGGGCCATATCAAGTTTGAGCTATCCTGAGACGGTCTGTTGGAATAGTTGTTGTTTTTTAAACCCTAGACTCAGACTGACTTCCTGGTTTAAAGTTTCATCGTTAAAGTCAGTCTAGCGCTTTCTTCTTAAAGTGACAGGAGCAATTAATACAAACAAGGAAAATAAAGCTGGGGTGTAACGAGCATGACTTGAGTCAGTTTTATGTTACAACAAATGGATTTGATTGACAGAGTATTAAAAAAAGTACTAACAACGATACCAAGTTCATGCATTGCCATGAAACTTTAAGCAAATGAATCTCTGATGAATGTCCAGACTAGTTTTTTTCATTGGTAAGTGTACATTAGTTAGTTTTGTATTAAATAATTAGTAATAGATCTTTATTCCCCCCAACGATTGTTGTGGTACTACAGAACATTATACCAAAACTGTATTGTTATTACAGTTTTGACATTTTGCTGGTGCGGACAAATCAAATTGATTGATTTTTTTTAATATATGAATTTGAAAATCAACCTAGCAATCTGTTAGATTGGGTTGAAAAAGTCTTTTGTTAGAGCATCTCTAAAAACAACAAGATGACAAATTAAATTATGGGAACATTTTCCATTTATGAGCAATGAAGTTTACTTTTATTCTAGCCATCTAGCCCAGAAAAATAGTTGTGAATCTTTAGTTGCTGAAGTAGACATTTTCAATACTTAATATTGATATTTGATATTGTTTTCAACTAACTAACTTTGTGTCTTTAGGTGCTGTCTGTGCGCTGAAGATGCTCCTCAGAAGTGGAGCAGCTGGCTTTGTGTTCGGAGAAGCTGCATCCTTTGCAGTTGAGCCCACTCTGATTCAAGATGTCCCCCTGCTGAGCGCGGCAACTCTGGTTGCTGGACGAGCCGGTTCGACCGGTGTCGCCGTCGTGATGGCATGCCTCGCGTTCACATCAGTGCTGCTGTCTCTAGGAATGGGTTTCCTCCACAGTGCCGTGGTGCTGAAACTGTTGGATACAATCGGCGTGAGGCTGCCGTGGTTAACGGAGACCTTGACGGGCGCCTCTGTGGTGATTGGCGCCGTCACCACGGGAGTGTTGGTGGGCGCTCTTCCACCGTGGCTCTACTTTACAGCTCAAGGTGCTCTAGTCCTTATTGTCTATTCTTACTCCAACATCAACGACATGACAACAGCTCTGTTAATCATCTTCACCACTTTATACCTCAGTGTTTTATATGGACGAATGGGCATCTTACTTGGTTTAATCTGTACCGGACTAACCATTGCTGCCCTCTTAGCCCTTCGGAAGAGTCTTACAGAGAGGCTGAAACAAAGGCCAAGATCTAAGAACGGGTGCAAGCTGCTGGACAGGATCTTTTTCTACTCCGTTGTAGTGGGGATTCTTGGTTTTGTTCTTGGTTTATGGGCAGGTGCAGTAGGAGATGGGTCTGAAGCAGAGGTGGGTTTAATGCTGCAGTCAGTCCTTTGGGTGGCGTTGGTGTCTGCGGGTCTGCTGGGAGCTGGACTTGGAACAGTGGCCATGGTGGGACTGGGGCCAGAGATGGCTGGGAAGGTTGCAGTGGGAGCTGCTATAATAACATCAGTGACTCTGAGAGCCCTTCTGCACCACAGCTCCTCTCTTGGAGCCAGGAGCTGCACAGGAGCAGCATTAGGGCTGGCTACAGCTGCGGGGGTGTCACTTGGTGCTGCAAGCGTTGCAGCCAAACAGGGATTTGGATCCAGAAATTCGGCTTTAGCACTAGTAGGTTCAGTCGTTGTCGGTGTGCTCATAGCCCTCAAGGGTGTAGCTCTGAAAGCAACTGTGCTTACAACATCAGAGCTTATAACGGTAACGGCGGTTGCAGTGGGGGCGTTTGTTCTGGGCGCACCTAAGAGCCCTTTCCACACACAGGTGAATCTGCAAAGGGGCCTTCTCACGGGGTCAGGGCTAATTAAAGACATCGGCATGGAGACGGTCACCGCAGCAGCAGCACCTATTGGAGCGGGGGCGCTTGGAGCTGGAGCCTTGGGCACGGCGGCTCTAGGGACACTGGGGACCATAGGAGTCGTGGCGGCTGTGGTGTTGGCTCTTGGAAGCGCTCTGGGTGGTGTTATCGGAAAATCAGCACCAACACAGACTGGTTGATGACTGAGTTTAATGTTGCGTGTCTCCTGACGGGTGTTTTCTGTTCAAATTGTTTTCCTGTAAAACTTGTCATAAACGTAATATTTTGACCACCAGAGTTAATGAAAACTGGAAGAGAAACTATGAATACTGGTGCACTCTGAGATTTTATTTTTATGCAAGGTGCTGAACGTTTTATTAAAAACTGTTGTTTGTTATGTTTTGTTGATTGTTCTTACTTTTAATATACAGCTGCAGCAAGACCGCCTTTTTTTTCCTTTTTGTCAGCCTTTGCACATCACCTCATTTCCCAAGACATGACTATTACTTTGGTTTCATCTTAACAACAGTAACAGAGGATTTGCTGTTTACTTAAGGGAGGGCTGGGCGTGGGAGGAAACCAGAAGACGGATGAGCACCAGAGGATTAATTCTGTATTACTGATCTTGCTTTAATCTAAAGTAATGCCGGTTTTTGTTTGGGCTTTTATGTCTTTTTTTTTATCATTTTGTGTTTATCTGTTAGCCTAAATGGATGATGACGTGTATCTCCTGTTTACTGTGGCAGTAAGTAGGACTTCAGATAGATGAAAAGGTATTTTATTGGCTGAGAAGTATTAACCTTGCTGGGAAAAGGTAATGTTTAGTGATTGAAACTGCAAACCATCCAGGAAATATTCCAAATGTAATTGCAGATGAGAAATTTTTCTTAATGGATTTTAAATGAACAAAGAAAAATAGTGATTTTCTTTTAATAAAACATTTTTTGGGAGACTTTCACAACTGAAATGTGATTATTTCCTCGTATAATGGGAAACGTCGCGTCTTTTTCTTGGATTTTTGCACCTTGTGCCCTTTTTATTTCATGAACCGAATGGAATCTCTTCAGTGACAACATGGCTCTGAACCGGGTCCCTACAATGGACATGGAGCAGTCTGTGGAGTGCTCTGTGGAGTCCTCGGGCCAGGCTCCGGGTGATCCGGGTCGGAGCCACCGTGAAGTGGCCGTCCTCAGGTCCAGCTGCTGCCGCTGCCTGCCCAGGGCCGTGCGCCTCACCTTCACACCGGAGTCTCTTGAGAAACTTTACCAGAACTACTTCCGACGCCAGAGAGAGGAGAACCTGCTGGTGTTGGTGGCGTTCGCATTGCTCTTCAACAGCTTCGTTATCATCATGTGCGCGGTTGTGTACACCGAGGACAAACTGGCCATGGTGGTGGTTGCAGCTGTGGGCTTGGCTGCAGATGTTGTGCTGTTCCTGATGTGCTGGTTCCGTAAACTCCCTGCATCTCCTGTGGCCAGAGGAGGGGTCCCTTACATTCTGTGGGTGATGGTTACAGTTCATGTTTTGTGTTACTTGAGCCTGAACTTCCAGCGGTTCTCAGATGCCAGTGACTCTGTGGGCTGGCAGGCTTTCTTTAGTTTCTCCAGTTTCCTGACCTTACCTCTGGATCTGCTGCCCCTCGTTCTGCTCGCAGCTCTGTCCTGTGGGATCCACACTCTGGTTCTTGGGGTGATTGTGGCTCAGAGGTTTGTGGATAATCTGCAGGGGCCCATGCTGGTGAGACAGGTAAAACAACGTGACCAGTGTTGTTTTTATTTGAACATAGTTTTATGTCATGCTCTAAATATAAAGTTATCTGCTCAGTCTAAATTTTCATCTGTGCATATTAGGACCATTACGACTTCAAATGTATTAATCTAGCACGTTTAAAATACTGAAATTGACCAAAGTGATTTAGCCAAACAGAATAGTTGTAAAGAAAATTTATTTATTTATTCCTTCATTTAAAAGAAACAAACAAAAATTCATAAAATTTTAACAAATTTTAATTGAGTATTTGGGGGTAATATATTTTTTAGCTTTATGCATGTAAAATACTATATTCAACCAAATCATGAAATTTTAATAATTTCAACTGATGAAATAATATATTTGTAGCACTTCCTACTAATAATTCTTTTTTTTTTTTTTGTAAAATAAAAATAGGATTTGTAATTGTTTTGCATGCTTTTCCCCAAACTTCAATGCAATAGATTAAATATGGAACAATTATTACATTACAAAATATATAATATGAACAATATTTATTATATAATTGATGGTATTGGGTATAATAAATGATGCTAAATGTTAAAAGGATAGTTCAGATGTTCTTAAGTGTGGTTTTGTGGGCTCATAGTTACAACAGATAGCTCTTTGAACGCCTCATCTTGGATAAATGGTTTTAATTTTAACCGGACTGAAGCGCTAACAGTCAGAGCGAGGCTAACACAAAAGGAGATTTCTACTGACTTAAGACATCTCCATTCTTGACATTTTCATAACACTTCATGTGAACACTATTTTATGGTCCTTTACACCTGTCAGTTCCATATCACACAGTTGTTTCACCACAAAAATCATGTTTCTGATGGAACTGCACAGCTCACCAAATATGCTATAGTTAGCTAGCTAGCTACTGTTGTGTTTTCATCTGTGAAAATAACTATTGTCAAACAGACACTTGGTGATTTGTAAAATAGTGTTTACATGAACCACATTTAGTTATTTGTTTGTTTATTTATTTAAGATTAAAGTTGTTGTAAAATGCCTAAATAACACTTTGGTCTTATGCGCACTAGCTGTTAGCTCATCAGTCCAGTCAGAAATAAACCTGAGTTCTCTAATCTGAGCTCAACCAAAGAACTATCTACAACAGGTAAGATATTAATTGTTCATATCTTTTCAGCAGACTCCATTTCAACAGATCTGAGCTATCTCTTTTAAGGCCAAAAACTTTTGTTTTGCTAAGCAAAACTTTTAACAGTTTTAAACTGTTGTTTTTTCTTTTTTCGGTTTTGAGACATATTTTTCTCATTATTTTTTTATTTTTTTATTTTTTTTTACCATGGGTATTATGGGTCTGAAGCTGGAAGGGGGCAGCACGGTGGTTCAGTTGGTAGAGCTGCTGCCTCTCAGCGAGCAGGTCGCCCTAGTTCAAATCCCGGTCCGGGGGCCTTTCTGGGTGGAGTTTGCATGTTCTCTCCGTGCATGCGTGGGTTTTCTCCAGGTACTCTGGTTTCCTCCCACAGACCAAAAACATGCATGTTAGACTGACTCTAAATTGTCCCTATAGGTGAGAGTGAATGGTTGTTTATTTGTCCCTGTGATGGGCTTGTGATCTGTCCAGGGTGTTGTCCCCCATCTCTCGCACAGTGACTGATGGACATGGGCACCAGTGACCCCCGCAACCCTAAAAGGAAGAAGCGGGTGAAGATGGATGGAATGGATGGATGTTTGGTTTATTCATTCATTCTTGCTTATTATTTGTCATTTATGGGTTTTGCACCACAGGGCCACCTTATTGCTGCCTTGTCTAAATCTCAATTTTTGTGTTTTACTTGATACATAACACAGGGTAGTAAAAGAGACTGCAAAATGTCATACACATTTATTGATACTGTTTATATGCATCAAATTTCCTCAAATGATCATTACAGATAAAAGTTAGATTTTTTTTTCTCTTCAAAACAGTAACATTTCCCCTCCTCTTCAGCTCTTTGCCAACGTGATGCTGTACCTGTGTGCAGCCATAGTAGGAGTGATGTCGTTCTACATGTCAGACAGGAAGTACCGGACTGCGTTTTTGGAAGCTCGTCAGTCTCTGCAGGTGAAACTGACTCTGGAGGAGCAGAGCACCCAGCAGGTGAGAGGAAGATAACAAAATATGCATTTCTTCAACTAAAAACTGAAAAATTCATGGAACGAACACCTTTCTTTATGGAAGATCTCAGTGGCACGTAAGAAAAGAGCCTAAACATTCTTATTTTAGGCAAACACACACAGACACTCACCTGCACTAATAAGCAGATAGAGTAGAAAGGTGCGGCCTAATTACCCTGTGTTTACCTTTGATGCAGACTAATGGGTTGATTAGAGAGACATTTGTTTTCACCAGTGGATCTGCCATCAGGGGCCTGCAAAAATAATGGACTCTTTGCTTTGGGGGCCATAAACGGATCATGTTGCATTTCCAGAACTTTTTTTAATATATATATATTTGGGATTTTTCTTGTGAATTTGATTAACTTGTTTTAGTGAAGCTGACTCAATCAGTCGACAAATTGTACATGCATGTATAATTAAACACACAGGAATACAGTTGTGTTTCCTTCCCCACTGCTAACTGAACTCGACACCCTCCTCTTACTGCTCGTGTAGGAGGAACTGCTACTGTCCATCCTCCCGAAACATATCGCTGATGAGATGCTGCAGGGCATGAAGGACCAGGCCAATCAGAAAGATGTTCAGCAGCAGCAGCAGTTCAACACCATGTACATGTACCGCCATGAAAACGTCAGGTCAGGACCACGACATTAGCTCTGTGACAGCCCCCCCTGCAGATACAGTTAACACAGTCTGTGTGTTTTGGTTGTAGTATACTGTTTGCAGACATCGTCGGCTTCACCCAGTTATCCTCGATGTGTAGCGCCCAAGAGCTCGTGAAGCTGCTTAATGAGCTCTTTGCTCGTTTTGACAAACTGGCAGCTGTGAGTATCAGCAAAAAGTGTTTTTTTTTTATTTTGTGTTATATGCCTAAACATAATGTTTTCCACATAAAATCTCACAAATTAAGTAAATTCACCCCCTGTTTTAATATAGCAATGACTTGGATAAATATTCTCGTGTATGTTGTTTACCCATGAGAAGCGCCCTCGACAGCAGAAGATTTTTAACCAGGATTTTACTTGCAAGGTCAGATTTTCAGGACAGGTTACATAAATATACATAAAAGTACACACAAGAATCTGCATGGAGCTGCGTTACACGCTCGCTTTTATATCCTTATCAGTTCAGCTGAATTAACAGAGCTCAGGAGGTGTCCTTGGAGCCAGCTGCACCCTTCCTCTAATACAAACACGCGGTTCATGGGCTGAGATAGATTCTCAGCCATAATAAAAACATCCATAACCTTTGACCAAAAATTATTTGCCACAATTTTTCTTCCTTTACAGTACATCCTGTTGTCAAAAAAAAAAAAAAAAAAATTGGACAAATATCTGTACGCAAGGAAAAAATCTTAAAACCAGTGTTTAATGTGGTCCAGCGGTGAACTACATCTTCAAGGCATCCAAAGATGGCTTGGAGTAAAGCCAAGAAATCAAATTAAACGCTGCATTAAAAAAAGAGTAAAACACAGGAAATCATCGAAAGAACACAAGAAAACTGTTAGAGGAACAAAGACAAAAAAAAAATTTAGGCATTTATGCAGAACAGTTTTCATACGAACGTTGATGAAAGTTTATTTATGCTACAATGCTATACCTGTTATATCGAACTGGTTTATTTCTCTTTGTTCTCATAGAAACACATTTGTGTTCAGTTTTATCAGCTTTAAAATGAGAAATAAGGTTGAAAATTAACATCAAAATAAGACGATAGTTTACTGATTTACAGACTAGCACTGCACCTCATCCTGTTTGAAGCTGCTGTTTTTTAATAAAATGTGAACATTTTCTCTTTTTTTACAGCAACATCACCAGCTGAGAATTAAGATTCTTGGAGACTGCTACTACTGCATCTGTGGTCTACCTGATTTCAGAGAAGACCACGCCGCCTGCTCGATAAGGATGGGCCTCGCCATGGTAGAAGCCATCTCGTAAGTGGTGACTTTAAGGTCAATAAAAAATGTACCACTCACAGAAACTTAGACTTAAAGTACGTAAAGGAGTGATGCTGACATTTCATAGTGATTGCAAAGGCTACAACTAATATTTATATGCTCCCTAATGGAAGTATATACAAGGTAAAGAGTATTGGTCCAAGCACTGAACCTTGAGGAACTCCATGTTCATTTGGTTCCGGGGGAAAATACTACTAAAGAGATAAAGTTGTGTAAGAGAAATCTTAAAAATTAAAGACAACTGAGCTGGAATAGAATTAGCATTAAACTACCACACTCTGAGGAACTAAATAAAGGCAAAGAACATGATATTTATTTATCCAGGTACGTGCGGGAAAAGACAAAAACAAACGTGGACATGCGAGTGGGAGTCCACACAGGCACCGTGCTCGGAGGAGTGCTCGGACAGAAGCGCTGGCAGTTTGATGTTTGGTCCACAGACGTCACTGTGGCCAATAAGATGGAGTCTGGAGGAATCCCAGGGTAGGAGCGTGAAGTCACTGCTCAACAACGTGTTTTCAGGATCATATTCTTGTATTTTGGGGTTTCATAAGAAGTTGTATGTGCTGCATAGGAAGGTGCATGTTTCCCAGAGCACCAAGGACAGCCTGCATGGCGAATTCGAACTGGAGCCGGGGAACGGTGGAGAGAGGTGCGAGTACCTGCTGGAGAAAGGCATCGAAACTTATCTGGTTCTCGCACCCAAACAGGAAGCAAATGGACTCAATGGAGACGTGAGTTGTTTGTGTTTTTAAAAACAATTTAAAACAGTAAAAAGTTAACGACACAAAAGGTATTTCCTGTTTTATTGAAGAAATGTGCATGTTTTTGCAGATACCAGGCACTCTGAAGAACAAAAACTCACAGCAGCTGATCAACACCGCATCACCCGAGGCAAACTCAGCCTCTGCTCAGTCTAGGTTGTCCAACTATAAACAGGAGGTACTTCTATTCTACTGAAACTGATATTTGTTTGGCTGGTTTGTATTTTTAGATGCACAAGAAAGCTGTTTCATTTTCAGTATTTAGTTTACTGATTTTCCAACCTGAAAGAGCTAGCTGCCATGCTGGGAGCATTCTGAGAGGGTGAAGGGACAGGAATTCACCGCCACCTGGTCATGTGTGTCCCTAAACAAGATTGCAAAATTCATAGAGATTTGATGGAATTGTAGATGGTAACCAGAAAAAGATGGAATGCCCCCTCTGGGTGGAAGGTGAGTCTTTGTCTTAAGGAGAGGCGTTTGAGAGTCTTGGACGTTTGTTTATGATTTTTGGCAGGATCAAAATTGGGGCCTAACCTGCAATAATGAGGACATTAATCTGGAAGAAGAAGCTGAGCCAAATGGTAAAGATTTCAATTTACAGCTCTTGAATATGTGCTTCAGATATGGTTTGTGCCTGAAAGAACAAGACCGTGGATGCAAGCTGAAATGAGATTCTTCCATATAGGCTCAGCCTAGTTAGGGTTAGAATCTCCTTCATCTGACGGGGGGATGGAATAGAGTCCCTGAGTCAGCTGAGGATGTTCAAGCATCTATTTTGAACACCTTTCTTTGAAGGTTTTTCAAGTATGTCACATCAGAAGGACACCATGAGAAACTTGCTTGAGAGCTTATGTATCCTCACTGGTGTGGGAATACCATGGAATTCCCCATGAGGAGCTGGGGAGTGTCACTGTGGTGAGTGTTCTTTGGACAATAGGTCCTCCAGGAACCTGTTTCAACTTATCCATTGCCACAAATGAGTTGAAACCAATGTATGGGTGGATGAACAGATGGTATGTTGAAGCTTTCTTCTTCTTCTTCTTGTCACATTCCTGCAGTCAAAGTCTCAGTGCTAGAAGAAGAGGGGCACTCTCACTGTCTTGTGCTGTGTCTAGTCCAAATAAAGTAGCAGTGGTTTTTCTATGTGGGATTTGTAGGTTTTCCCCATACTTATGTTAGTTTTCACTGAGTACTTTGGTCTCTTCCCTCAGTCCAAAAATACACACGGTGTGTTAATCTGAGATGTTAACCTGAGCTCAGGTGTGACAATATGTTTACATGGACATAAATAACCGGATTAAACGGCCATTCAGAATAAAAAATGTGTCATGTAAACACCCCATTCAGATTATTCTTTGTTGATTCAGCTCGATCCGAATGAATTTGTAATCCGAATGAGAGGGGTGGTTTATGCTGATTCATAATCCAAACAGTGTGCATGTAAACACTTAATCTGATCATTTTATTCCGATTGTGGAAAACTGACCTGACTGTGCATGTGCTACCTATGTCAACTTTACGTATTTCCACCTGGCTAGATACTAATATGTCAAGGAGCAAAACTTGTCGGTGAGCGACACATTTCTACTAGAAACTTTGAAAGAGTTCAAAATGATCTGTATTACCTGCAGCTCAGTCAGGGAGTGCAGTAACGTCTCCACCATCATTAAAACCTGGCGCGGGTCCATTTTGGGCGCTCAGGTTTGTTCATCCCAGAAGTAGAACTTCTTCTTCTGTGTTTTTTTTAGGAAAGTTTACCACTCTGCGCGTGATCAGTACTTCTATTCTGAATAAAAGCCCGCTGCTTGTAAACGCTCGTCGTGAACAGATTGTGCGCATGTAAACGAAACATTCGGATTATTTAATCTGAATACATTTCAGTCCAATCAAAGAATTTTGCACATGTAAACATAGCTGTGTGAGTGGTCTGTCTTTGTGCTGGCCCCCTGACAGACTGGCCTGCACCCCACCTCTTGCCTGTTGGCTGATGAAGATATCTTATGAACAGATACAGGAAAACATGCTTGAATGTTTCATATTGACACAGACTGTTAAAGTACAAGCATTGGTTTACCTGTCAAATATGGTCATTTGTTTCTGTTTTTAGTATTTTAGAGAAGCTGCCACCTTTAGTTTAGTTGCACAAACTTTACAGTACCTTGAACTCAACCTTGACAATTGTTACCTAATAACTTCTCACCAGAACCATGGCTCCACATCACCATCAAGGTTAATCTATACGAAGTTTGTTTCTTTTGATCTTTACTTCCCATTTCTTTACACCTATGAGGGATAGGAACGTAGCAATCATATGCATTTAAATTACTGATCTCTTAACTTCCTTGTGGACTCATGTTTTTTCAGTTCATTTATCTCCCTTAAAGAACATCAAGGTTCAGCAATGATTTTTGTTCAAGTTTTACAAAATTTTTCAATATTTTTTTATTTTATTCATATACAGAGGTGTTGCTTGTTACACTTTAAATGGCAGGTTGTTAGCCTGCAGGCTGTTCTCTGAGTTTCGGCTTTTTAATTTTTTTCATTTTTTGATCTTTTAGAGAAATAAGATGACTGAAGAACAAACGATCAACAAACGACTGGAGCAGGAGCTTCTGGACAGAGAATCCCAAAAAATGTAAGAAAGTTTAAAAATTAAGAGGGAGAGCCAAAACCAGATGAGTTTTAAGATTAAATTCCATTAATACATGTACAAATGACAACTAATGTATCCTAAAACATGGAAATTTATATAAACCTTCCCTCTCAGTGGTATTCCAGTCCCTGGCTTTTCTTCTCGTTTCATTGATTGTTGCTTTTTAAACAGAAAGAAGGACCAAGAAATCAGTCCCATTTCTCTGCGATTTGTGGATGGAAAGTTGGAAGACCACTACTCTTCAGAAAAGGAGAAACGAAGCGGCGCTGCCTTCAGCTGCTGCATCATCGTGCTCTTCTTCATCACTGCCATGGAGGTGTTCATAGACCCACTGTGAGTTATCATTTAATCCTGTTGTTAGGCCTGTTGCGATAAACAATAAATCAATTAATCGCATGATAAATTTAAATTATCGACCTCGTTTTCATTTATCGGGCTTATCGTTTCTTTGTGTCTCTCTCTTTCTGAAGACACTGGATTACAAAAGGCTCAACTCTGGGGCTCTTCACTGGCCCCTCCTTTCTTTTTCTTATTAAAATCCATTTTAACCATCCAAAATCATGTTTTTGGATGGTTAAAAGCAGCTAAGCTGAGAAGCTAAGCTACGAGGTAAGCTAACAAGTTGACCTCAGAAAAAAACCTCCGTCTTGTCGAAGCGCCAAAATTCATGGTTGAAACCCGTGCCTTTGTGTAAAAAGTTGTTTTTCTCTGCAAAAAGAAGCTGAGAACTTGTTTACTGATTTTTATTAAAGGCTTTGTGTGAAAAATGCTATGCTAAAAAGCTCAAACCACACCAAATGTCCGCCATTTTGAGAACCGAAGAGAGACGGCCCATGTCACGTCAAGGGGCCTCCCTCCCATTTTTCATAAAGACACATGCTGTTCGCTCCCTCACTATCAAATCCTTCGTTTCAAACAGTCTTTTACTGCCATCCAGTGGTCAAAAAAGGTACTACACACAAAACAAATTAAACATTTCTGCTTAAATTTTACATTACTAATTATTGTCAAATTTCTAACAATATTATCATTTATCGCAATAAGTTCTGAGACAATTAATCGCACAGCAAAATTTGTTATCGTGATAGGCCTGCCTGTTGTTTTGTTTTTATGTTCAGCCGATAGGAAAACCAGAGGCAGTTATACAGTTTTGTATCAGTTTTATGTTAAATTATGTGGCTATTTTTGCTTTTAGTGAATTTTTTTTTTATATCCTTTGTGTTTTTGTCCAGGTTGGTTGTGAACTACGTGACTTTTGCAGTTGGACAGGTGTTGCTGCTAATCCTCACTGTTTGCTCCCTGGCTGCTATCTTCCCCAGGGTGAGAAAAACACGCTAACATAGAACTTCAAGAGCTGGTTCAGATCTTTTAAAGTGGGAGTCTGTGGGAAAATCATCCATCCATCCATTTTCTTTTACTCATTTCTCCTTTCTGGGTCACGGGACAGCATCTCCAGCAGTCACTGTGCAAGAGCATGGGACACGTGAAACAGGTCTATCACAGGGACACATAGAGACAAACAAGGCATTCTCACACCAAGGAACAATTTAGAATTACCACTGCAACTAATATGCATGTTTTTAGTCTGTGGGAGGAAATCGGAGCACCTGGAGAAACCCCACGTGTGCATGAAAACAACATGCAAATTACACACAGAAAGACCAGGAAATGAACCTGTGACCTTCTCACACTGAGGCGACAGCTCTAACAACTGTGCTGCCGTGCCATTCGGAAAAAGTTCTAAACAATTAATATCTGTTGTGGGTAGCTTTACAATTTTTTAAGAATGAAGCGATCTAATTTGGACTTGGTGCCATTAGGACTAGTTTATCAATCCAGTCAGAATTAAACTTGATATCTCTGAACTGAGTTTGGTCAAAGAGCTATCTACAGCAGTTAAGATATTAATTGTTCATAACCTTTCCACAGAACCCCACTTCAAAACTGTCACTGACATCTTCAGAGTTAAACAAATCAAATTTGCCAACTATAATCTGAGTAAATTTTCTATTTGCAGTAAGTTTATTGATTTTTTTAAAGAAATTCTACAAGAAAAACAAACAAAAAACTCATTACTTGTTGTTTTTTGGCAGATGTTTTCCAAGAGGTTGGTTTCTTTCTCAATGTGGATCGATCGCACCCGGTGGGCAAGAAACACCTGGGCCATGGCGGCCATCTTTGTCCTAACCATGGCTGTTATAGCTGACATGGTAAGAGACAGGATAGACTTCATCTGTGTGTCAATCAACAGAAGAAGTTTTTTCTGTCCTGTTTTACATTACAACACTATGTGCATGCAGCCAGTATGTCAGAGATTTTAATGTAACTTTAGTTGACATGCGTCATCATTTTGTCGACCCTATTACGTGTGTGTGATTCTGTTAGTGTTTCCACTTTCTGCTCATCTGACTATCACTGTCTTTTCCATGTCTGACTGCATGCTCCCACTGGGGTCCATTAGTTGTCTGCCTTGCTGCCTTCTGGCTCGTTTGGCTCACCCTCCCAGGACTAACCTGCCACACACGCTGATGCTTTTGTGGTCTGGCGCATGTAGAGGTTGCTCAAGTAAACGTTTCTTCCACTGATCTGACAGGCGTAGAGGTGACATAAACAGTTCCAGAAAGTGCTTCAAATTGTGAAGCAGGTTTTTACCGCTCACTGTTGAAAGAGGAATGACGAGTGATGCCTGTCTCTGTGCACAAGTGCCTATTTATAAAATATCTCATAAACCAGTAAATGGACTATAATGAATTTCTCAAAAATATTCATTGGATGCACATCTACAAATTGAAAACCTCTAGAGTCATCATAATTCAAGAAGGTTGCCACAGCTGATCGACCTTAGCAAACAATACAAGAGCTACAACTACTTCACAGTTGTCGGGCTAAAATTTGAGACGCTAATAGCTAAGACGCATCCACAACACAGCACGTGAGTGCTAACAAGACCTTTGTTTAAAATGCCTGCAAGTCAACGAGGGATGTAGAATCCAAGGAATGCTATTTTTGTTAGAATAGGTAATGCTTCACTTGCAGTATACATTAGCTAATAGGGGCCCTGATTTTCTCTTCTTGTTATGAAAGCTTGTTACAAAAAGATTTGGCATAAAACACTTTTGTCCCAAAAAAATGAGTTATGACATTGTGATCTGTGGTGAAAATGGGAAACAGGTGGAAGAGAACCTGGAGAGGTGGAGGTATGCACCTGAAAGAAGAGGAATGAATGTCAGCTGTAGTAAGACAGAGTACATGTGTGTGAATGAGAGGGAGGCTGGTGGAACAGTGAGGCTACAAGGAGCAGAGGTCACAAAAGATGGTCCAGGAAAACAGGGAGTGTGGTAAAGAGGTGAAGAAAAGAGTCCAGACAGGATGGAGTGCATGGAAAAAATTTCAGGAGTGTTTTGTGACAAAAAGGTGTCAGCAAAAGTCAAAGGAAAAGTTTTACAAGACAGTGGTGAGACCAGCTATATTGTATGGTCTGGAGACAGTAGCATGGACAAAAAGAACTGGAAGTGGAAGAAATGAAGATGTTGAGCTTCTCCTTAGGAGTGACAAGGATGGATAAAATTAGGAATGAGATCATCAGAGGTACAGTACAGGTTGAACAAGTGTAGCTTACATTTTTAGAGGCCAGACTGAGATGGTTTGGACATGTCCAGAGGAGGGACAGAATGTTGGAAATGAAGTTGTGTGGAAAAATATGAAAAGGAAGTCCATAGAGGAGATATATGGATGCAGTTACAGAGGACATGGAGGTAGTTGGGGTGAGGACAGAGGACACAGAGGACAGAGTGAGATGGAGGAGGATGACTCACTGTGGCGACCCCTGAAGAGGGAACAGCTGAAAGGAGAAAACAAACTGAAAACAAAATGCAATAAACTAACTTCACAAAACTGACAATGAAAAGTATGTAGTCTGTTCTAACACACAGAACAACAATTAATTCCTTTAGAATTGAAATGATCGTTTCCTACTTCACTTTCACAAACTTTCTGACACAGTCTCTTTGAGTGGGTAAAGTAAAGTAAAGTAAATTGTTATGTCCAAAAATATTCAGGCATGTCTGGATGGTTTCTTTTTTGACTCCTCAAAAAAAAATAAAACATCCAGATGACCTTTGTTGGATTTTTTTACCTGGATTATTGAGCATGAACTTTGATGTGAAGTGCTATGTGTTGTCATCATTGTAGGTTCCTATACAATGATGAAATTAGTTCCCTGCATTTACCCCATCACACATGAGATACACTGCAGGTGGAGCAGTGGGCAACTATGTAGGCTGCCTGGGGAGCACTTAGGGATTGGGTGTTTTGCTCAAGGACACCATGACAAATGGGCATGGCGGAAAGTTGAATTTGCGACTTTCTGGTTCCAGGTCATCTGCCCTACCGCTACACCATCTCTTACCCCAAAGTGGTAAAACACCATTTGGGAGTGATTGGAGAGTGATGGCATCGTCACTCCCTTGGAGAATAATTTCACAGAGCTTAGAGAAGGTGGGCCCATGATCGGAAGGTCAGTGGCTCAACTCTCTGGACCGACAACATCAAAATGTGGGTGAGAAAGGTGAAACGGCCACACCTGCCTCCACCCTAATTTGCCCTACTCTGTGCCCCTTATTTGCAAGCCCCCTAACCCATCTGCTCCCAAACAGGTCCCTCTTGAAAATGAGTCCTCGTGACTCAGTGAGACTTTCTGTATAAATAAATCTAACAAAGTTAAATCAGGTCCTCTGGACTGATTAACAAAAATAAATAAATAAAACATTGTTGAAACGTTTCATCTTTTATCCAGAAGACTTCTTCAGTCTGATGAGCTGCACTAAACTCAGTTTTATAAAAAGCACCTTCTCATAGTGGATCAACCAGTTGGCTGGTGACAGTCAGAACTAGCTGTTCACATGATAAAGGAGGACCATCCGCCCATCGACTGATCGTTAATACCCCGATGGCCGCTTGCTATTCACAGAGGGCTGAGTGAAACTAGCAATGGCAGCATTGTAAGAAAGTGGCAAGGTGTATAAATAAAGGTTAAATATGACAAACCATTTAGACTTAGCAGGTGGATTTGTATTTTTTTTTATCAAACGTGAAGCTGAAATGGCTAATCTTTGCCAACCTGCTAGCAAACTATTGAGCTAGCTCCACTGGTTTTCTGAATGTTATTGACAAATATGATGTTTTTTTCCAGTAATGAACTTTCAGGTTGAACTGAAAACATTATATTAGTGTTCTACAATAAGTATATGGCGTGTAAACCTCATTGCAAACAATATGTCATCAATCCTTTAGGCCTAATATAGCTGTCTTTTTGTATTGCTAATCCAAATAAGTAAAATTAGATGACTTATATTTTGGGAAAACTTTGTTCTCAACAACTCTGTGCTGCTCAAAAGTGAAGTTTATATTACTTTATTAGCAACAGCAGGATATAAGAATTCTCCAAATGAATAAATAGATGTATTTGTATTAATGTTATTGTTTTACTCACTTATTTTTTTTGTCATTGTTGCAGTTAAGTTGTGTCCCACCATCACTCCGAGTCTTCAACAGTACCTTTGGCTACATGCTGGAGTCACTTGGTGACCGAGACTGTGCAGAAAATCCCAAGTATTACAGCTTCATGGCTGTGATGTCCCTCATTGCGGTTGCCATGTTAGTGCAGGTCAGCCACCTGATTAAATTAGGCCTCATGGTGCTGGTCGTCACGGCGACCGGAGCCGTTAACATCTACAGCTGGCGGCATATATACGATCTGTTTGACTACATACAGTTTGCCTCCTACAGGTAAGAAACTGGTTTGATTCCATATTGATACCAAGATGTTGCTTATTATTGTTGCATTTTGATATATGGATTGTGCCTGTGTGTCATCTCTAAAGCCATTTTTCCTTGCATGTCCCTAGATCATTCATGGTGCCATCCAAGTATCTCATGACGATGATGATTATTGTCATGATGATTGGGTTTTACTTTTTTGCTCGGCATGTGAGTTACTGTCACCACACAGTGTTGGTCCAACAGTCATGGCTGTCATTGTCAATGCATGATGATGTTTCATCTATTAGTACTGATATTTTATGACTTTAATGTTAATAACCTTGCATGCGTGTAGCTGGAGCGTCAGTCCAGGAAGCTATTCCTTTGGAAGGTTGGGGTGCACGACCAGAAGGAGAGGGTATTTGAGATGAGACGCTGGAACGAAGCGCTGGTCACCAATATGTTGCCAGAACACGTGGCCAAACACTTCCTGGGCACTAAGAAAAGAGATGAGGTACATTTGAGCTTGCACCAAAGCTTTGAGTTATTTCAATATGCAAATGTTTTTAGATGGTGAGTGGGGAACATAACAAGAATACATTAATACAACTTAACAGACTCAGTGTTATAATCTCTTATTGAAGTTCCATGGATGATCTTTGCATCTCATCAGTGCCATCTTGTTTCAAAATTATGTATGGACGACGTGGAAATGGAAGAAGCAAAATCAGCTGTAATCATATTATCTGACATTTACAGGAGCTGTACAGCCAGTCTTATGATGAAACAGGTGTGATGTTTGCTTCCATCCCAAACTTTTCCGATTTCTACACGGAAGAGGGCATCAACAACGGAGGCATCGAGTGTCTCAGAATTCTCAATGAGATCATCTCAGACTTTGACACCGTAAGTTCTGACGCTGTACAATCCACACTGAAAACTAACAGCAGCACTCATGATGTGACATCCTACTGAATGACCCATGTTTTTGTAACATTGTCCTTCCACTAGTTATTAGACCGAGACGAGTTCCGGTGCATCACTAAAATCAAGACAATAGGAAGCACGTACATGGCTGCCTCGGGACTCACACCAGAGAGTAACACTAACAGATTTGGCAACCGTGAGGTGTGATCTATTAACCATATCTGAAACAGATATTGCTCATCGTTTTGTTAACCTACTAGCTTGCCTGGTGTGCAAATATCAATGACATCATGTACAACGTTAAACTGTTGTTTGACAGCCAGAAGACCAGACTCTGCTTGAACGCTGGCAACACCTCTCTGACCTGGCAGACTTTGCCTTGGCCATGAAAGTGACGCTGGACAACCTCAACAAACAGTCCTTCAACAACTTCATGCTACGCATCGGTAAGTGCATGTGTGGAAGCATTTGCCTCACTCTGTATGTGGATTTGCATGTGTCAATGTCTTCTTGTTGATTCTATCAGGTTTGAATAAAGGAGGCGTTCTCGCTGGGGTGATTGGAGCTCGTAAACCTCATTATGACATCTGGGGTAACACGGTGAATGTGGCCAGCAGAATGGAATCAACTGGAGTGATGGGGAACATCCAGGTAACACACGCAGGCCCTGTTTAGGGATTAAACATTCAGGTAGTAACTAGAGTTTGGTCAGTAGGTCATCCTTCAATAGTCCAATGCATCACTATATGTGACCTGACTGATTGGACATGAATGGGTACTTGCTGTGATTTTGCTCATGCCTGTGTTTAATGCTGACTACTCATGACTAAGACAAATGGGCAGTTCAGCACATTTAGTGCCAAATCTAAATTGGGCCTCTCGTACAAAATAAAAAAATGCTTTTGAATTTTGATGGGCGCACTGCACCAGAATTCTGTGCAAAGGTTACGAACAAATGACATCTATCTGTTGGATAGCTCGTTTACTGACTTCAGTTTGGAGAAATGGAGTTTATTTCTGACCGGTCTGATAAGCTAACAGCTAGTTCGAGCAGTGCTAGGACCAAAGTGGTTTGGTTAGGCCTGTTGCGATAAACAATAAATCAATCATGATAAATGAAAATTATCTACCTCATTTTCATTTATCGACTTTATTGTTTCTTCGTCTCTCTCTTTCTACTGAAGACACTGGATGACAAAAGGCTCAACTGTTCAGCTCTTCACTGATCCCCTCCCTTTATCTTTAAAATCCATTTTAACTGTCCAAAACTATGTTTTTGGATCATTAAAAGCAGCTAAGCTGAGAAGCTAAGCTACGAGCTAAGCTAACAGGCCGACCTCGGGGGGAAAAAAACTATGTCTTGTCAAAGCTCCAAAATTCACGGTTGAAACCGTGACTTCATGTAAAAAGTTGTTTTTCTCTGCAAAAAGAAGCTGAGAACTTGTTTACTGATTTTTTTTTATTTAATTAAAAGCTTTGTGTGAAAAATGCTATTCTAAAGAGCTCAAACCACACCAAGCATCCGTCATTTTGAGAACCGGAAAAAAAGGACGGAGAGACAGCCCATGTCACGTCAAGGGGCCTCCCTCCCATTTTTCTTAAAGAGACACGCTTCTCGCTCCCTCACCATCCTTCGGTTCAGTCTTATATTGCCATCCGGTGGTCAAAAAAGGTACTACATCCAAAATAAAATTAACCAATATTTATTCTTAAATTTGACAATAATTACTCATTATTGTAAAATTTCAAACAATATTATCGTTTATCACAATAATTTCTGAGACAATTAATCGTCCAGCAAAATTTGTTATCGTGACAGGTCTAGGTTTGGTGCCATCTTAGAACAACTCTCATCTCAAAAATGACATTGCAGTTCTTGCAAATGTAATTTTATAAAGCTTTACATCATCATTCTCATAATCACTTTCTAATGACTCAATTGTTTGTTGTAATTTTATGGTTATTTGCAAGCGCAAGTAGCCCTTTGGGTGCAGTCTGTAGCACTTCCTGTAGGAATTCTGGTGCGTTTTGTTTGCACTCAGAAGGTGTAATTTTCCACTGCCAAGTCGGAAGAATCAACGAGAATGAGTATCAGAGTTTGGACTCAAAAAGTTTCCCGACCAGCCTTAACCTTAAAATTTATGGCTGACTCATGCATAAAAAGCTGTGATCTCTTCAGTAACAAACTGTTTATTAAGATACAAACCACCAGAAATAAAAATAATCACGTCACATACACAGTACTGTCCTAACACTGTTAATGAGTATGTTGCTACAATGTCTGAATGGACAGAATTGAGAGAAATTCATAGTTATCACCTCTTTTTTTTTTTGGCTTATGGTAGTTACTCATTGAGCACAACAATTAGCAAATCCAACTTGTTTCTAGAACACAGTTAAGCTGAGTCCAAAATGAAAAGATTTTTTTAAAGTAATGTTGGCATGCATCATTATGTCCTACTTGGAATAGCTGCAAGCTCATCAGTTTGCTTCAAATTAAATTCTTGTTTTTATGCCATCTACAACAGGTAAGATCCTAATTGTTCATACTCTTTCTGCAGAACCCCACTTCAAAAGATCTAAACTATTCCTATAACCCAAACTGTAAACTTAGCTATTGCCTAACTTTAACCATTAACCTAAAATGAATTATAAACCCTCAAAAATGGCTTCTATTAGGATATCATAACAAACCACACACAAACACAAATGTATTGATTAAATACAAAAGGGCTTGTTAATATTATAATTATCCATACTGTACCTGGTCATTTTTTGTCCTGTTTGGCCCTCAGGTGGTGGAGGACTGCTATGACATTCTGAAGGAATACGGCTTCCGCTTCATCCGAAGAGGGCCCATTTTTGTCAAGGGAAAAGGGGAGCTGCTTACCTTTTTCATGAAAGGGAAAGACAAGCCCAGTTGTAATGGGGGTCCAGGGACAACAGCCCTTCCACACCAAGTTGAGACCCATTCCTGATTATTTTTTTTATCTGAATGACTGACACTAACACAAAATAGATCAAAGGCAGATTGTTTGTTGGGTTCCATTTCTCTCAAATACAATTTATTTTACAAAACTGCGTAGTTTATGCAAACACTGTTGGTATAGAACATAATAACAAACGTTATTTTGTAAAGCTGTATATAATTCCGTAATATCGCACAGTGCTTATGAATTAAAGATTGATTATGTGATACTAACATTCCAAGCAGATCCTATGGATACAGTTTCAGCATATTTAAACAAACCTGGAGTCTCTTTTGAAATGGTGCCAACAGGTCCAGGTGATATACTTCACTAAGTGGCATGATATTTTTGTAATAATTTTTACTATTTAAATAATTCAGAATGCAAATTGGTTGAATGGAAATGTGAGCAAACTCCCACATTTGTTGCATCCACAAGATTAGAATACTCTGTTCCAGATTCAGTGCAGAATTTACCTTATTCTGACCTTTGACATCTGATCTCAAGGATCCGTTCATCTTACCTCTGGTGTGGTCATCCATCCATCCCATCCATCCATCCATTATCTTTTACCTGCTTTTTCCTTTTCGAGTCACAGGGGTCACTGGCACCCATATCCAGCAGTCACTGTATGAGAGGTGCGTACACCCTGAACAGGTCTCCAGTCCATCACAGGGACACATGGAGACAAATGAGACAAACAACCATTCACTCTCTAACTCACACCTAGGGACAATTTAGAGTTACCAATCAGCATAACATGCATGTTTTTGGTCTGTGGAAGGAAACTGGAGTACCTGGAGAAAACCCACACATGCACGGAGAGAAAAGGTTCCCGGCTGGGATTTGATCTGGCGACCAATCCGGCTGAGGCAACAGCTCTACCAACTGCGCCACCGTGCCGCCCCATCTGTAGTGTCATCAAGCTAAATTTAAAGAAATCTAAAAACTTGACAAGAGAAATACTTGTGGGTAATAGTGCTGATTTTTACATCCTTGTAAGCCACAGATGTAATTTTTTTAGATTTATCCTGAGTTCAGGTTTGTAAAAGAATGCAAACTAACCAATTGCTGTAAAAAATGTGCTTTCTTTTTTGGGGAATATGTTTCTAAGTTAAGAGGTTTATCTGACGAGGTTAAGTCAGGTCCTATGGACGGATTATTTTTTGTTGAAACGTTTCGACTTTTATCCAAAAGACTTCGTTAGTCTGAGGTCCTGCAACAAATTCTCAGGCCTTGTTTACACAATGTGTTTTTTGAGTGAAACCGCAGCTTTTCTACTGCGATTCACCCGTTCATTTATATGACAACAGTCCTCATTCTGAAACCAAAGGTTTCTGAATCTAGGTAGAGTGGAGATTTTCAGGGACACCCCCACTCCCACATGCAGAAATGTGAAATGCTCCACAAATGCGAAATGCACATACTCTGTTTGTGCCGGGGGGCTGGATCTTTGGGAAACAGCGTAATATTGTGTATGCTGTTCAGTGCCAGTAGGGCTGTTATTGAATAATTAAATGATACATTAATTACACTCAATCAAGATGAGAGACTGCGATGAAGTTAAACTCAAAGCAGTCTTTTCTTCAGATAATTAAGTTCAAGTTCAAAGTTCTTTATTGTCATTTGCATCACATGTGGTACATAAGGTGGAACAAAATTGTGTACTCAAGGTCCCATTCGCCTTCCTGTGGATCCACCACCTGCAGGAGGGGCCATACAAGTCAGGTGCAAGATGCCATGGGCAGTGGTCGAAGACGGGGGCCTTGGCGCTCTGACCCAGGCTTATCAAAGCTGGCTCTTGAGACATGGAACATAACCTCTCTGGCGGAGAAGGAGCCTGAGCTTGTGCTGAGGTTGAGAGGTACTGACTAGACATAGTTGGGCTCACCTCGACACGCAGCATGAGCTCTGGAACCGATCTCCTTGAGAGGGGCTGGACCTTATTTCACTCTGGAGTTGCCCATAGTGAGAGGCACCCAGCTGGTGTGGATCTACCCATAGCCCCCCGACTTGGTGCCTGTATGTTGGAGTTTTCCCTGGTAGATGAGAGGGTGGCTTCCCTGCACCTTCGGATGGGGGGACAGCCTCTGACTGTTGTTTGTGCCTATGTGCTGAACGGTAGTTTGGAGCATTCGGCCTTCTTGGGAGTCCTTGGTGGGGTTGCTGGAAGGTGCGCCAGCTGGGGACTCTTTTATTCTGCTGGGGGAATTCAATGCCCACGTGGGTAATGACATTGTGACCTGGAGGGGCATGAATGGGAGGAACAACCTCTCTGATCTGAACCCGAGTGGTGTTTTGTTGTTGGACTTCTGTGCTAGTCATGGTTTGTCCATCACGAACACCATGTTCGAACATAAGGGTGTCCATAAGTGCACTTGGCACCAGGATACCCTAGGTCGAAGATCTATGATCGACTTTGTAGTCATGTCATCTGATTTGCGGCCTTGTTTTTGGACACTGGTGAAGAGAGGAGCTGAACTGTCAACTGATCACCACCTGGTAGTGAGTTGAATCAGATGGCGGGGGAAGATGCCGGACAGACCCGGTAGACCCAAATGTGTAGTGAGGGTTTGCTGGGAATGCCTGGCAGAAGAACCAGTCAGAAAGATCTTAAACTCACACTTCCAGGAGAGCTTTAACAGCATCCCAGCTGAGGCGGGGGACATTGAGTCTGAGTGGACCATGTTCCACGACTCAATTGTTGAAGTGCCTGCCTTGAGCTGTGGCTGCAAGGTTGTTGGTGCTTCTCGCGGTGGTCGTCCATGAACTCAGTGGTGGACACCCCGGGTTAGGGAGGCTGTCAAGCTAAAGAAGGAGTCCTATTGAGCCTTGTTGGCTGGTGGGACTCTGGAGGCAGCTGAGGAGTACCGGAGGGCCAAGCGGTCCACAGCCTTGGCTGTTGATGAGGCAAAAGCTCAGATGTGAGAGGAGTTCAGTAAGACCTTGGATAAAGACTCTTGGTCGGCTCCGAGGAGATTCTGGCAAACCATCAGGCGGCTGAGGAGGGGAAAGCAGCTCTTTACGAACACTGTTCAGTGAAGGTGGGGTGCTGTTGACCTCAACCAGTGATGTCATCAGGAGGTGGAAGGAATACTTCTCAGATCTTCTCAATCCCACTGGCACGTCTTCCATGGAGGACGCTGAGCCGGGGGACTTCAGGGTTGGTCTGTCAATAACCGTGGCTGAAGTCAACAAGGTAGTTAAAATGCTCTGCAGCGGCAGGGCTCCGGGGGTGGATGATATTCGCCCTGATTTTCTTAAGGCCTTGGATGTAGTGGGGCTGTCTTGGTTGACACGTCTTTGCAACTTTGCGTGACATCGGGGGAAGTGCCACTGGATTGGCAGACTGGGGTGGTAGTTCCCTTCTTCAAAAATGGGGACCGGAGGGTGTGCTCCACTTATAGGGGCATCACTCCTTAGCCTCCCTGGTAAGGTCTATTCAGGGGTACTGGAGAAGCGATTCCAATCAATGGTCGAACCTCAGATCCAGGAAGAACAACGCAAGTTCCATCCTGGCCATGGAACACTATATCAGATCTTTACCTTCACTAGGGTCCTTGAGGGGTCATGGGAGTTTGCCCATTCAGTCTACATGTGCTTTGTGGACTTGAAGAAGGCTTTCGACTGTGTTCCTCAGGGTATACTGTGGGGGGTACTCGGTGAGTAAGGGATTTGGGGCCCGTTGTTATGGGCTATTCAGTCTCTATGCAAGCTTTGAAAGAGTTTGGTTCGCATTGTCGGTAGTAAGTCGGACCCCTTCAGGGTGGGAGTTGGTTTCCACCAGGGCTGCTTGTTGTCACCAATTCTGTTCATAACATTTATAGACAGAAATTTTCGGTGCAGCCAGGGGTCAGAGGGTTTCTGAATCGGTGGCCTCAGGATTCCATCTGTGCTCTTTGCAGATGATGTGGTCTCCTGTTGATGTCATCGTGCCGTGACCTTCAGCTCTCACTGGAGCGGTTCGCAGCCGAGTGTGAAGCAGTTGGGATGAGAATCAGCACCTCCAAATATGAGGTTCTCAGCCGGAAAAGGGTGGATTGCTCTCTTCGGGTCACGGGCGAGGTTTTGCCTCAAGTGGAGGAGTTCAAGTATCATGGGGTTTTGTTCATGAATGCAGGCAGAATGGAGCATGAGACTGACAGACGAATTTGTGCAGCATTTGCAATATTGCAGACTCTGTACCGGTCTGTTGTGGTGAAGATGGAGCTGAGATGTATAACGAAGCTCTCTGTTTACCAGTCGATCTACATTCCTACCTTCACCTATGGTCACATGCTATGGGTAGTGACCGAAAGAATGAGATCGCGGATACAGGCGGTTGAAATGAGTTGGAGTAGAACTACTGTTCCTCCAAACTGAAAGGAGCCAAGGTGGTTCGGGCATCTGGTAAGGATGCTTCCTGGGCGCCTCCCTAGGGAGGTGCTTGGAGCATGTCTGACTGGGAGGAGACCCCGGGGAAGACCCAGGACACGCTGGAGAGACTAAATCTCGGTAGGCCTTGGAACGCCTTGGGGCCCTCTCAGGAGAGCTAGAAGAGGTGGCTTTGAAAAGAGATGTCTGGGCCTCCCTGCTCAAGCTGCTGCCCTCGCGATCCGACTTCAGAACAAGCCAAAGATAATGGATGGATGGAAGTTCCCAGTTACACCCAAATATAGCAAAAATATAAAGTACAAAAAGAAACAGTATATAAGGATTCAAGATATACACTAAACACACATAATGTAAAATAATACGGTATATTGAACAACAGTTCGAACATGAATCTGTAGTAAGTAGATGGGTATGAATGAATACAGATGACTAATATGAATAATAATTAATGTTATTAACTTACTTTTATATATATATATATATGAATGTTTCTGTACAGTGCCCTAAGATGACTTCTGTTGTGACTTGGCACTATATAAATAAACTGAATTGAATTTACTTGAATTATGTATTTATTTATTTAATTTTGTCACATTCCACCCTCCATAGTGATCAGTCTTACATCGGGGAAACTAAACAGCCACTGACCAAAAGGATGACCCAGCACAGGAGAGCAACATCATCAGGCCAGAACTCTGTGGTTTACACTGATCTCCAGGCCAGCTGTCACTTTTCAGGAATGAAGATGTTCACATCCACGATGGTTTGAGAGAGAAGTGAAGGAAGCCATCTTTGTGAAGAGAACCCGTCCATCATTAAACGGGTGGACTGAGATAAGTAATAAATAAAGTAATAAATAAAAAATAAGTAATAGTAATAAATAAGACTGAGTTTGTTGCAGGACCTCAGACTGAAGAAGTCTTTTGGATAAAAGATGAAACATTTCAACAAAGAATCTATCCAGAGGACCTGACTTTGCCAGATTTTTCTACCTGGATTACTGAACATGCATCAGGACATTAAGAGGTTTAATTAATCAAATAATATTGTTTGTATTTTGCCCTCATCTGTGAATGATTAAACTAATAACTCAAATGAAGATTTTTTTTGGACCCAGCTAATAACGTGTTATTTGATCATCGACGATTGATTTTCTGACATATGGCAGCATCACTGTCTTCTTGTAAAGTTTTCTTTCTTAATAGACTTGAACTGAATGAAGTCTGTACCACTAATCTAAATAAATGAAACCTGAACATTGTTTTTTTTTGTGTGTGTGCTGGCAGGCAGTGTATTAACAGGACTTTTTCTCACAACCTGAATTTTAGGCTTGATGCTTAATGTCTTTTTAAATTACCTTCTTGATCACTTAGATTAACTGAATAATCTCCTCAGTAATAATTATGACACTAATACAGATTTGCTTCATATTCCAGATTAAGAGAACGATATATAAACAACCATCTGCACAAGATGGTGCTGACATTTGTGTCACATCTTTATAGGTCTAACAACATTGTCAGGCTTAAAAAATGTGTTTATTAAAAGGTGAATACAAAGATTAACAATGATTATTATTTTTCTCAGTAGTCTTCTTGTGTTAAAGTGTAATAAAAAATTTATGACCCAGTTGGTTTGACTGGTTTGACTCTTGTGTCCTTTTTCCAGTCATGTGATTTGCGTTTTTATTATGTTGAAAAAACTTACTGCATGCCAGCTTTTATTTTCACCCCTAAATCACAAACTTTTTGAGCCTTTTAGGGCTGGACACAAGAAAATCTGAAGGATTTAGAAAAACGTACCTAAAAACAAAATACGGTCATTTGCAAATCTTTGTTCATGGCAGCATATTTTCTACTGTTTGCTTAAATAATGAGCAAAGTGGACAAGTGGAAGAATAAAAGAAGTGTTAGATATAACCAACAAACAGAAGATAAGAATATTTAAAAATCATATTTTTGAAGAAATAATAAAAAAAAGACACCAAAATCCTGGCATGTGACCCTGAGAAATACATCATCCTTCAGATGACCTTTTAATATATTCAGAGTTTTCTGTTAATTCCTCTTTGTTGAGGCTCAAATACAGTTTAATGTACCAAGCTGTGTTTTCATTTTTTTTTTTTTTTTTCTTTTTAAAAAAAAAATTTTTTGGTGGGTATTTTATTTTTATTTTTTTTACATATTTAACGAAAGAAGGTTGAACAAATTGTGTGTTTGTGACAAGTTGTGCATGTGAATAAACCCTCTCTCTTGTGAGCCAGACAAACAAACAGTTTACACAATGCAAAATCAGAACAGTTCTTTTACATTTGGGCGGTTTGTCTACACTACAGCAATCAGATTACCGGTATCTGGCTCAGAAACATTTTAAATAGTGTCTTACAGTGGAAGTTTTACTAAATTCTTGGCATCGTTTCATTGGACAAAACAATTTATCTAAAAGTTGAAGTGTTCAGACAGGTGCACTATAGATCTAATCTACATTTCCTAAATGTTTTTAGATTGGACCACAATGGAAATAAATGTTTTCACTTTCTTGAGTTATTCAAATATTTGCAATTGATGGAATATGTATATATGTATGTAATAGATCTCATGCTTGAGACAAGTCTTTTTGTGCATTATTGAAATGCAAAAATCACAGCACCTGCTAGTGAGCTGGCAGGGAAACTACAGTGAGTTCAACATCTTCTGCAGTCCAGTCTAAACTGGGATTGTGATCACAGCATTAACGTGTGAACGTGTAACATTTTAACAATCAACATAAAGAAATGTGTAACTTTTCAAGAGATTGTTCACATTTAAACTGGGCCTATGACCCTATTAACACTTCTTTGGGAGGGTAGTGAGTTGAATCTGCACGTGAATCTAACTTTGCACAACAGAGCCTCTCGTGCAGCTTAAAGTTTAGAATTTAATGTTTTCCAGTTTAGAATAAAGAAGGTTGATCGATTTTTAGTTATTAACAAATTGTATGAATGCATAAATTTGAATTAAAAAGTAGTACTTTCATGCAACATTGAATTTTGCCCCCTTCGGGAACCTGGTGCCACACTTTTGCCACCCTAAAAAAAATCCTAGATCCGCCTATGTTCATAAAAGCAAAATATAAAGAAACTTGGGGCGACTTAAATTGTTTGCATAGTAAAATTTTACTAACCAGCTTCATCTTCTTATATATATGTAAATGCAATTTTTTAACAAGTTATATTACATTAAAATTATATGTCAAATTGTAAATCGTTTGAAACAGTCAACTATGTTTTGTACATATTAGTTGTATTTAAATTTGTTATTACCCAAAACGTCCACATTGCAATAAATTATTTTATACGTTACGGATAAATTAAAAGCTTGAATAAAATAAATAAGTTTAGTGTAACGTTAGTAGGTCAGTAGTCGGATAGTTATTCTAATTCTACCCGGAAGCCTGCTAGTGTAGGAATGTCCGGTTACGTCAGAGCGTCGGGACTCCATTAGAGTTGCAGCTGTTTGTGGAGAAACATCAACAAAAACGGGCTAACTGACAGTACGCTCGCTGCCCGACAACGAGGCCTTCAAGTCTGGAAGCGTAACCTTCATTTCCCACCCGGAGCTCCGCCGGCTTCTAACCACGGCCGCTCTCGGTGAGGAAACACTGGCCTCCCCTTCCTCCTCCTCCGACTCGGACACCGGCGGAGCGTCGCCGCCCCCGCGGAAGAAGCACCGAGCCTCGGCGGCGGAGGGAGCAGGAGAGCCCGGGGCTTCAGCAGTTGTAACAGGCCTCTCTAGTGTTGTCCTGGGACTTGCCGCACACTCTCAAACCACCTCGACTATCCACTTTAACCGAAGTCTTGTGAACAACCTCAGCAGCAGCATGCAGTCGAACGGGGCAGGACAGGGACAAGAATCATCGGAGCTTTCCTGCCTAAACAGCGCACAAAACGGGGAGTCTTCCTCGGCCGGTGGCGGCGGAGGAGCCCACGCCAATGGGCTCTTGTCCAACACAGACAACAGTAACGGCGTCGGTACCAGTAACGGCTCTTCAGTCGGGCCCTGTTCGGGGACTTCGAGCTCGGAGGTCGGCTCGCTGAAGAAGAAGAAACGACTATCGCAGGCGGAGGAAGATGTCATACGATTAATAGGGCAACATCTCCACGGACTGGGGCTAAAGTAAGTTTTATCCGGCATGTCAGTCGAGGCAAAACTCCCACGAGCGTTTAACGTTCGCTCTAAAAATATAAACTGTCATTTATATCATGGCCATGTCGTGCGAAAGAGCCATTTTTTTTGCATGTAGTCAGGGCGCTATTAGCGCTTGACAGACACAAACATGGGGGGATGGGGCAGCAAGTTAGCCTGCGAGCTCGGCAGTTGGTAGAAAGAAGGGGTCCATCTTGCACAATAACAGGCTGCGCTGATGTGTCGAGTCCTGACATCAAACCTTCACACAAACATGAAGTGCACACTATTGTTGGGCTTCTTGCACATATTTTATCCCAAACTGTGGTCGTGTCAGGTACGCCATAACTGTGCAAACAAAAGAGACGAATTTCGCACTGGATGAAAGCCATTACATCACCCAGCAGTTAGCGGCGCTTATTCATCCATTCGTTAACTTTTTTATTTTTCATTTCTTTTTACTGTTTGTCGTGATCTTATTGGTTTTGTACCGAATGAACCTGCTGTGGTGTCTAAAATGGAGTGCTCAGGCAGGATTATCGAGGTAGCCGAGCACCTTTTTTTTTTTTTTTTTTGCGGTTCAGAGGCTGCTGTTGCGCAAAAAAAAAAAAAACTGCGGTAAAAATGAGTTTATTGTATCGACGTAGATTTTCTGGCTTTTGCTATAACGAGTCTCGGTTATCTTTGTTTCCCAGCTTGACTGCAGGAGCAGGATAATGGTTATTTTCTCCTTTCAGACTGGTTTTTAAGGAGATATAAATGAGCCTGTAATGACAAAATCTGTGTTTTTTTTTAAAGTTTCTTCCTCTTGCACTTGTTTTTATATCTACCATTTTGTGAAGCTGTTTAAACCATCACCTGATTTTTCCTGTCATTCTTGAAAGGTTTATTTTTTGTATCTGTGTGTCATGGCAATGTGTCACCAGTCATAGCCTGTGACGTCCATGTATTTATTTAGATAAAGCTGGTACTGTAGTCCACATTTGTTCCAGGAATAAGCAGAATCAGATGGTTTTATGACTGCTGTAGGAATGCGCTCTGCTGTTTTAGAAGGAAACCCAGTGCTTGAATCTAATTATAGCACTGGTGGTGGTGGTAAAGGGGGGGGGTTCCATTATATCTACGCATGTTCATATGTTTCAAAGTGGCTGTTGTGGTCGCTGGTTTATAGCTCTGCTTTGTGTTGATCTTTGATGTCGAGCTGCGCGAGCGTGCAGTCATTCCAAGACTTTTTATATAAAACGAACCAACGTGCAGTACACAATCAGTGGGGGTGGGAATACATGACACCGCCTGCTATGAAACAGAGCCCCTAGATTTCAGCTTGGGAAATGCAAGAGAGATCAGTGTAGCAGTCAGCTGGATGAGAGGCTCAACACAGAGCTGCTGCGCCACTTTATTGATACCTGAGGATGATGTCATTATGCTGAAGGTGTCATCCATCCTACGCCCCCCACCTCCTTTTTTTTGTTTGTTTTTTCTCGCCTGCTCATTTTCATTATCTTGCACGGACGTCTCAGCAGACGCGTTTTATGGCGAATTCAGCCAAGAGTTGGTGTTTGGACAGATGGTAATGGTTCATGGTTGACAGGCTGAAAGGATGATGATGTCAACTGCGGAGAAAGCTCGTCTCCTGTTAATGAGCTTCCTACTGTCCACAAATCATGCTCTGGTCATGACACAGCTGCTCTGAGTTAGTTTCCTTCATAAGCAGGAGGCTGTCTTTCACTTGTTCGCATTTAACACTAATACCACAGAGTCCCCCGTTTCTACAATGAGTGTACGGATCACCTATTTTTTTATGTTTTAATACACAATCAAAGGTCCTCAATGATTTTTCTAGTTTCTCCTGAAATGCTACATTGTTTCATCATGTACCGGTACTGATGTTTATGACTTGGGAGTTTTGATTACATATTGATTTCTGAGAGCTAGAAGACCACGTTTGTGCTTAATTTTCGTCGTCCACTTCTTTTTGTTTTCTATGTCGTTGTGTGTTTACATCATCATAACTTTGTCTGCCTCTCTTCTCTTCCCTGTGTGTGTGTGTGCAGTCAGACAGTGGACCTGCTGATGCAGGAGTCAGGCTGCAGACTGGAGCACCCCTCGGCTTCCAAGTTCCGCAACCATGTCATGGAGGGGGAGTGGGACAAGGTTGGGTTGATTTGACATAAATGCAGAATTAGACTGAGATTTTTATTTTATTTTGTAATTTTTTTTATTGCCTGCAGTTGAAAGGAGAAGGTGTTCTGTTTTTTATGTGTGTGGGCACCTGTCTGTCGCCAAAATATCCCCTGAGCTCATCCATCCATTATCTTTACCTGCTTCTTCCTTTTCGGGTCATGGGAGTCACTGGTGCCCATGTGCAGCTATCGCTCTGCGAGAGGCGGGGGACACCCTGGACAGGGCTCCAGTCCATCACAGGGACACATAGAGACAAATGAGACAAACAACCATTCAATCTGGCGACCTTTTCGCTGAGAGGCGACAGCTCTACCAGTTGCACCACCGTGCTGCCATCTCTTGAACCCTTGGACAAATTTTAATGAAACGGGCAGAAAGTAAGCATAGGGTATACATTTACATGGATGCCACAGGCAACTGACATTTAAGAACTACAAAAATGGCTATAACTCGGCCAACTGTACAGATATTGTACTAAATATTAGTGTAGAAGTAGCTCAGCATATAACACCAGGTATTGTTGCACAACATCTTTTCTTCAAACTTTAAGAGTCAGCACTGTCGGTCTGTTAGCAAAATATTTCATGAACCACAGAGTGGAATTTAATCAAACTTCCAAAAAGTAATCCTTGGATGTACGTCTACTCAACTTTACTTTTAGAATCAGTCGAATTCAAGATGGCTGTTACTACTAACTGTCATTGGCCAACGCTCACAAATGGCAATAATAGAAACATTTACAATAAAATTTGATGTGATAATGATAATATGCTAAAATAAATTCACAACAAATACTCCCAGCACTGACACATCTTGCTGTGTCTCTCGTTTTTCCATGAGATTGCTCATAATGTCATTTTAAAACTTTTTTTTGCCAAAATATCTTTATTGAATTTTATCAGGTTTAACAAACACAACTCTAACATTCTACAAAATTAATACAGCAATGTATCTAAACCAAAATACTAAAAGCCAAAAAAAAAAAAAAAAGTGCCCCTCACAAGATTCTAATCATATTGCAACCTATTTCAAACTCCATATATCTTCTCCATATCAAGGTGTCAATACAACAATGTATACGCGTATATCTTAAGAGAATTTGTTTAATTTAGAAACTGCAGTGCACACCTCTTTCATTCGCTTGTACTATCTTCTGACATGTTTAAGTCCTTAACATACCTAATGAAGGGGTTCCAGACACACTCAAACAAGTCCTGTTTTCCCTTTAATACATATGAAATCTTTTCCAGAGGTAGAGCAGATAACATCTGTCGGATCCATTGGTTGGCAGTCGGTCCATGAGTCTTTTTCCAAAACAACGATATACATCTTTTCCCATTAAGCAAACTCAAGTTAATAAATATCCGTTCATTTTTAGTGTAATGATGTTTTTCTGGGTACAGTCCAAATAAAAACAGCTTGGGATCCAGTATTATTGGTTTGGAGATGATTTCCTCAATTATATCCTTTATCTCTTTCCAAAACAACATAATTTTTCTACAGTACCACATACAGTGAGCCAGAGTCCCTTTGTCTTCTGTACATTTTGAACATACATCAGGTATCTCCCTGTTAAACCTGTTAAGATCTACTGGTGTTATGTAAACCCGCATTAACCATTTGAATTGGATCATTTTAAGACCTGTATTGATAGAGCTAGTGTGAGCCAGAGTACATGCTGCTTGCCAATCTTCCTCAGATAACTCTAACAATAAATCTTTCTTCCAAGCCTTAAGTCTGTCGTGAGATCCTTCAGAAACATGCAACATTAATGAATGGTAAAACTCAGATATATTACCTTTTTTCAAACTGTCTTTTGTCAACATTTTTTCTAAAGTTGATTTGGCAGGCTTCGTCAGCTCATTATTTTGACTCATTTTTATGAAGTTTCTGAGTTGAAGATATTTAAAAAAGTGTTTCTTATCTAAGTAAAACTTATTTTGTAGATCCTGAAAGCTCATCAGTATGTCTGAGTCTGGTAAATAAAAATTATGAATTGTTTGGAGTCCTTTATCTTTCCACAGTTTAAAAGTTGCATCGGCTCTACCTGGTATAAATAATTGATTACCCCACACTGGACTAAACTGAGATAAACAAATTGGTTCATTTAAAAGTTTCTTTACGTCTCTCCATACCCTTATCATATTTTTAAGAAATGGGTTCTCAGTCTGTTTTAGCAGTTTAGTTATTGAATTTGAATATAAATATGAGGGGAGGATCAATTTTAATCCATGAGTTTCCATATCAGTCCAATGTGGAGAATGATTAGTGTAATAAAACATCATAGACCTCAACTGCACAGCACAATAGTATAGATGAAAATTTGGACACTTCAATCCTCCACGATCATAAGGAAGGTATAGCAGGGACAAACGAAGTCTTGACTTCCTATTGTTCCATATGAAATGTATCATCTTCCTCTTTATTTGCGAGAAAAATTCAGGAGGAGGTGGGAGGGCAATGTTCTGAAATATATAAAGCAACTTTGGTAATACATTCATTTTTATTATATTTATTCTTCCCATCATAGATATTGGCAGTGACATCCATCTTTCAAATGAATTATCAACTTCGTTCATTATGGATTTATAATTGGTCTCAACTACTTGTTTAAGTTCTGGGGAAATATGAATTCCCAGATATTTAAATTCCGTCACCATCTTAAATTGTGTTATATCTGAGGTTGGGCTAACTCTCATTTGAATTTAATAACAGAATAGAAGACTTGTTTTTATTGATTTTATAGCCCGATGTCTCACTAAATAATTTAATTATTTCCAAAATAATTGGTATTGATCTGCTTAATTTTGATATGAATAAGATCACGTCATCTGCGAACAGGGAAATCCTGTGTTCTGTATGTCCAACGATGATTCCACTAAGATGGGGGTGTGTGCGCGTACTGCAATAGCAAATGGCTCTATTGCCAGGGTGAACAGCCAAGGAGATAATGGACAACCCTGTCTGCAGCCCCTTCTGATATTTATTGGTTTAGATATATTTCTATTAGTTATCATTTCTGCTGAGGGATTATTGTATAATATTTTAATCCATTTTACAAAATTATTTCCACATTCAAATTTTTCCAGAACTTGAAAAAGATATGACCAGTGAACCCTATCGAACGCCTTTTCAGCGTCTAGTGATAAGAGAGCTGAGTCTGATGTGCCTTTGTTATAATGAATTATATTTAATACTCTCCTCACATTATGAAAGCCTTGCCTCCCCATAACAAATCCATTTTGATCATGGTCAATTGTATTTGGTAAAACCTTTTGTAAACGTCATGCTAACATCTTGGAGATTATTTTCAGATCTGAATTTAGTAAACTAATCGGCCTAAAATTTTCACATTTATTTGGAGATGTGCCTGGCTTCGGCAAAAAAGTAATCATGGCAGCATTCATTGAAGGAGGAAGATGGTTTGTGTGGAAAATTTCTTTAAACATCTCTAACAGTGGGGTCAAGAGTTTGTCTTTAAAAGTTTTGTATAAATCTATCGGAAGACCGTCCGGTTTTGGCTAAAGTTTTAAAACTTTAGCCAAAACATCAACCCTTCTCATCATAAAATGGTTTTAGTCTTAAACTCTGGCATGGAACTCAGTGGGTGCTTTTATTTTATTAAACCAAACCAAATCATCTTATTGTACATTGTTGAATGCAGCGTATAAGTAAATTCTTTAATTTATTAACTTTCTGCTTCAGTTACATCATTTATAGACTGATAAATGGTTTGTAACTAGAAACAGTGCTACTGTGCGTTTGATCTTTTTACTGTTTGTTCACGGATGATGTGAAACCTCTTAAAGTTCATATCAGCACGTTCTAATAGTTTAAAAGAATTTATTGTGCTATTGTTTTATTTCTTTCTTGTGCATCGTCAGACTTTGCTTTGTAAGCCTTTTCCAAGTACAAAACTGTACACAAACAAACAGAGCTTAGGCAAACACAACTGCAGACCTTATTAAAAACAACTTTTCTGAAATCATGAACCTAATTCTGAAGTCAGGGCTAAAAAATGTACTGCCAGCGTGTGCCAAGAGGTTGTAAATATCTGCGTGTGGGAGACTAGGTTTGTTCTCCTAACTAATCAGAACTTCACAAGCAGCTTGGTTACCTTTTATTTGTGATTCCTAAAATGTATTTTACCTGCAGTTTGTCAAATGTAGCCTAAAGTTTGTTGATATTAAAAAAAAAGTTTGATTGTGTAATGGATTACAATATTGTAAACAAAAGCATCAGCTTTATAGTAAAAGCTCCCCCTTTTTAACAACAAATTAAAGCTGTTTACTTCCTACTGTTGATCATATATATTTTTCTTGTCTATGTCATGGAACCTGCTGAGCTCACCATTTCTCTCCCTCTGTCTCTCCCCTCCATCATGATCTCTTTGTTTTGGATCAGGCTGAGAACGATCTGAATGAACTCCGAACACTGATGCATTCTCCAAATGCTATTGTGGTAAGCTCCCTTTGCTCTGAACTGAACGACAGCCAGCCAGCAGACACAGCTGGGGCTTCCAGAAAGGACCGTATTATAAAGCCGGTCCCTGTTGGGGGAAAATTAACGTCTGAAATGTTCTAGATCAAACCCCAGAAACAGCTGAGTCAGAAATGAAGTGCAGAGCAGGTTTAGGGAACAAGTATGTAAATGTCTTTTTAAGCAGAATAATTATTTGACTGACATTTTCTTCTGGTTGGTAGTTTTTATTCTAAGTATTAAATATACTTCACTCAAAGTTTTGTTTTATTATTATGTGTATTATTATGTGTATTATAATTTTTTTTTTTTACTGTAGTTTATTGTTGTCATTGTCTACTGTTAGGAACAGGTCCCTCTTGTAAATGAGTCCCCATGGCTTAATGAGGCTAGCCTGTATAAATAAAAGTTGAGTGAGTGAATGAATTCTTCACTAGTAAGTAGATTTATATAATTATTAGGCCTGTCGCGATAAACAATAAATCAATTAATGGCATGATAAATGAAAATTATTAACTTGTTTAACTGGCCATGAGGTAGTGCTCTGAAATATAAAGGAAGTTCTGACAATTGTTGTTAAAGCTAAAAAAAATTGAAATCGGTTCCTCGTGCAAGTATCAGCCGATTTCCCAAAATTAAGGTAAAACTAGTTAAAAACCCCTTAGTTAAAAGCAGCTAAGTTGAGAAGCTAAGCTACAAGCTAAGCTAAACAGGCCGATGTGGGGAGGGTGCCTCTGTCTTGTCGAAGCTCCAAAATTCTCGGTTGAAACTCGTGCCTTTGCGTAAAAAGTTATTCTCTGCAAAAAGAAGCTGAGAACTTGTTTACTGATTATTATTTTTTTTTTTATTAAAAGCTTTGTGTGAAAAATGCTATGCTAAAGAGCTCAAACCACACCGAGCATCCGCCATTTTGAGAACCAAAAAACAGGAACGAGAGACCGCCCATGTCACGTCAAGGGGCCTCCCTCCCATTTTTCTTAGAGACACGCTTCTCGCTCCCTCACTCTCCATCCTTCGGTTCAAACAGTCTTATACTGCCATCCAGTGTTCAGAAAAGGTACTACACAAAATCAAAAAGGTCCATGCTCAATAATCCATATCCGCTGCACTACACAAAAATTTACCAAATTTCTTCTTAAATTCGACAATAATTACTAATCATTGTCAAATTTCAAACAATATTACCGTTTATCGCAATAATTTCTGAGACAATCGCCCAGCAAAATTTGTTGTGGTGACAGGCCTAGTCATTATAACAAAGTTTTGTATTGTTTTAGTTTGGAATCTGTTCAGTCCACTGCTCTGTCATACACAGATCCCAGAGAAGGTTTATTGAACATGCATGGTTTGCTTTACTTGTGTAATGGCTTTGAGACTGCGTTTGTGTCACCGCCACCATTAGCTAACAGCCGTTCTTGTTGGACATTTACACGTTCCACAAATGCAATCGTGGTGTATCACAGTGTAGCTGAAGCGTTCAGGGATGTGTTGATTTCTGCACGGTCTTTGTAGGAGTACAGGGTGTGGGTGGATGTTGTCTTGAATTTATGCGTGGTTGTTTTAACTCCGCTTGCATCGCTTGTCAGGGTGTGCTGTGCTGCATCCCCGAGATAAGGCGGGCATTTATTGCCACAGATGTCACTGCTGACTCGCGTGATCAGTAAACAGTCTCTTGTTGTTGTCAGCATTAAAGAATAAATCCAAGGATGATGATATTCCTTTGAGCACATCTAAAATATTATCCGAGTGAGAACAATGAAATTCTAATGGTTTAATGTTTTGTTATTGCAAACAGTGGCATATGTACTGCTGTGTACCAGAATGTGTCTCATGTTGTAGATTAGTATTTAGCAACTGCTTTTAAATATGATTTCATATTGAAGTTGTACAGGTCAGTTGTTACGTCAGCGTTTGAAATCTCCAGACTGTCAAAGCTTTTCATCAATCTTTCATCCTTCGATGTTGGGTTTGGATTTGATAAAATATCTTCTTTGTCTCTTTTTCTCCCTCCCAGCGTATGAAGTTCTTACTGCTGCAACAGAAGTACTTGGAGTATCTGGAGGACGGCAAAGTGCTGGAGGCTTTGCAGGTTCTCAGAGGAGAGCTGACGCCACTCAAATACAACACAGATCGCATCCACGTACTCAGCGGGTACTTTTTGTTATTAGCACTGGTTTCATGGCAGTCGTCAGATCATTGACCCCGTTGACACAAATACAAACTGTCAAAGTCTTAGATACTTCTTTGACTATAAATAATACTTCTCACCAACCACAGTAAGCTATTTATAAAAAGGAAGTCCATTTGATGCTTAGCAGCTTGATCTACTTGTGCCAAATCGGAAACATTTATTAAATAAATGTTATTTTGGTAACAAGACAACTCTGTCATAGAAGCTCTTATCATAATGTCAGAGATAGTTCATTTAGGCCGGGATAGTGTAATATGTCGACGGTTTTATTCTATCCAGTTCTCAATAAAAAGGAAAGTATTTCTGTTTCTCAGTGTGCGCATTAAATCATAGAGCCGCATGCATTTGCTGCTATTAGTGGTTTGCTCAAATGTTGACATTGATTGTTCTCACGTGATGTGTTGAAGCTACATGAGACCTGGCTCAAGAGCTACAGGTTTAGATCGTGTAAATGTGACTTTGCTCCGTTGCTGTTATGTTTTCAAATAGCTCTTTAGATTTACAGAAACACCCATAGATTCTAATGTTTGGAGTCGTTTCCTCCTGCAGGGCTTTTTCTCTTTCTTGTGTATATTTTTAATTTTCCAAGTGTTTTGACTGAGTCTTAAATGCTTTCTGTCTGACACATTGTTGGGCTCAGATCACGATGTGCTGCTCAAACAGGTTTTTGTCAAAAATAGGTCAGGTTTATATTTTTAGCTAGGCCACAATAGAAAGCCTCATCTAGGGCATTTTAGTGACCAGTTTGAAGAGAAAACAGGAGTGGTGATCAGCTCCGGGTGCCCCTGGTGCAATGTCCAGTTAATATTTAGTATAATTTGATATTAATGTTAGTCAAAGAATATAACATATTCTTGACTTGGGCATTTATGCCAAATCATACTGAAGACGCTTTTTTAGAGTCAACAGAAGGTTTTTACAGTGTTTTTTTGCTTTTAATTTGAATTCAAGTTGTTAGAAACATTATGTTTCTGTTCACCTCCATGGTTAATGAGGACTTGTATACAGTATATGCATATATATGAGTTTTGTTTTACTTAAACGGTGTTCTTGTGTCTTCTGGCAGGTACCTGATGTGTAGTCATGCCGAGGATCTTAGGGCCAAGGCAGAGTGGGAGGGCAAGGGCACAGCTTCACGCTCCCGGCTGCTGGATAAATTACAGAGTGAGAAGCTATTTCCATATAATGACCTTGCAGAGCTAACATGTCTCCTGACTTGGAACACTACTAAACACACGTTTCATGGGCTGACGTGAGCTAGTGTATGCTTTCTTTCAATCTTCCAGCCTACCTGCCGCCCTCTGTGATGCTGCCTCCGCGGCGACTACACACACTGCTGCGACAAGCCTTGGAGCTGCAGAGGGATCGTTGTCTTTATCATAACACCAAGCTGGATAATAACCTGGACTCAGTCTCACTTCTGCTCGATCATGTTTGCAGCAGGTTGGTTCTGCAGCTAGCAGGCTGCTGGGTTCTTGTGAGGCCTTTTGGACTCAATGCGGAAATATTATACTGCCGCCACTCGTGTGTAACTTTTGACCTCACATCATAAAATAAAACACCGAGGGACTTGTTCTTATAGTCACATTGAGATTTTATGTTCTTCAACAGGGGGTTTACCTTGTTTACATTTGATCATATCTTTTATTTATCTTCTAAACCCCTAGAATGTCTGCAGTAAGTTTGATTTTTTTTTTCCCCAATTTCTATGATTTTCTCTGTAGATTTTCTAAATATTTCATTATGCTATTATTGAGTAAAGTAAATCTAAAATACTTGTACCAGCAGACAGTTTAGATTTGAACCTCTGATCTGTTTCTTTGTCACAGGAAGCAGTTCCCCTGTTACACCCAGCAGATTCTGACAGAACATTGTAATGAAGTGTGGTTCTGCAAATTCTCAAACGACGGCACCAAACTAGCTACTGGCTCCAAAGACACCACTGTTATAATCTGGCAAGTGGATCCGGTGAGTGTGGAAACATTCGGTCTCATTCTTTTGTTTATACTTTTCATATAATCTGTCGAAAGACTATGAAGCAGTCAGAGTTTAAACTATTAACCGTTCCATTCTTGTAGCATGAAGCTGTCAGGCATCTGAAAAAACTAGTTAGGAAGTGCTTGTCAGAACCACTTTTCACCTAATTTTGCTCTTGCCTATGTCAAATGCCTACATTTACTTAAAAGAACATAAGTTTGTGATTACCTCTCAATGATTCAGTAATAAGTTGCTTTTATCATCTTCCTAACATTGTGTAGGAGAGCCATCAACTGAAGCTGCTTCGAACTCTGGAGGGTCACGCATACGGAGTCTCTTACTTGGCCTGGAGCCCTGATGACACCTACCTGATCGCCTGTGGACCCGACGATTGCTCCGAGCTCTGGCTTTGGAATGTTCAGGTAACATTAACGACACCTGAATTCAACTTATTAACGTTTGTGTTTCTGTAATATCCATCATAAAAGCAATAATTGCATTGTGAGAATCATTTTTAAAAGGTTTTGTACAAAAACATGTATCAGTTCTAGTAATCGCATCAGGTATGTGATTCAGTGAACGTTAAAAAGAGAACGTGTGTAGTCATTTTGGGGGGAGAAAACTCAGCACTAGGGAGTACTAAAGTAAAAGTTGGCACCAACTTCTGCTGTACCAACCGAGATATTTTATTTGTCTTAACGGGAGAAGTTTTGTAAAATGGCATTGCATTTACCGTAGTTGTAAACAAAGGAGAAGAATATTTGTTTTCTAAATCATTTTTACAAAAACCCTGATGATTTTGGGTTACATTAACCCCCAATCAATCATTTAATGATGTGGAAACTGTGTTAGAGCATAAACGTTCAAATCAAAAACACAGAAGATTTTTTTTAAAGGTTATTACAGCTTTAACATATTTTAAAATTATAGAAAGAAAACTCTTTTGAGCTCCTTCTGTTGATTTTATGTTCAGGAGCATTAATCGTAGCTGAGGGGTTACTCCTGTTTTCTGGGGTTACCCCACATAAGATTTTTTTTCTGTCACTTTGGCTCTTACCGTATTTTCCGGCGTATAAGTTGCATCAGTCAAAAAAAGCATCATGAAGTGTAAAAGACATATAAGTCACATTGATTATGCGTCACCTCTGACCCGTCGCGTTTATTGTGCATTTATTTAATGGTCCAAACAGTCCAGGCGGCGCCATCCATCCATCGTGGCCAGAGCCGCTAGCTCTCCAGCGTTCTTCCGCCTGCACCAGCTGAGTGAAGCAAGTGTGCACGGGAGGACTCACTGTTGCAGTTCTTAGAAAATTAACAAGATTAACATTTAAAAACAATTATTTGTTTGCTCGACGTTAGAATAGAATAGAATAGAATAGAAACCGCCTTTATTGTCCCACGGATGGGAAATTCCAGTGCATCAGCAGCAACAGATAAAAAGATAAAAAGATTTCACACAAAAGTTCCTAAAATGTTAATAAACAATACAATATATAAGAAATAAGATAAACAATATCAATAATAATATAATAACAATAATAATTATTATAGCAAAGGTGTGTCTCAGTTTAACTTTTCCTTAATAAATGCACTTTAGAATCAGAATAATTTTAATAGTCATAACCGCTTCATTTCACCTGGGCGTCGCCATCCATCCGCCCATTGCGACAGGATCCGCTTGCTTTCCAGCGTTCCTCCGCCTGCACCAGCTGAGTGAAACGAGCATGCACAGGAGGACTCGCTGTTGCAGTTCTTAGAAATTAAAAGCTTCAGTCAAAAATTGTTATGAATATGGGGAAAAAAACATATATAAGTTGCTTCAGTGTATAAGTCACAAGACTGACTAATCTGTGCAAAAAATCGTGACTTATACACCGGAAAATACGGTAATTTTAATTCACTAGAGATCGTGTTAATGTCCCACTACTTAATGAAACACCATCTCAGGGAGCTTGTTTTTTCATCAGTAGTTGATTTCTTTGAAATGAACAGACCTAGCATGTTGCTAATATGCAGAGCAGCATTATGCAGCTACAGACGTATACAATGTTGGATCATTGTATTGATGGATTAGATTCAAACAAGGCAAAATATTGAAAATATCACACATTTGACAACAATTGTGTTCTATTATTTTGAAGTTTGCCCCTGAAATATCTGTTTCAGTTTACCCTTCCCTCCATGTCCCCTGTAAAAATTGCAACACCCCTCTCTACCTCTTGGCATGAATGCACCAAACTGAAGTACAGGGCTAAATGGTGGAGGCAAGGGGTGAAATGTGATTCAGCCCAAGTCTGAAAAGTGCTATAGATACTCTGTAATGTGCTGCGTGTACTCGCTGACCTTTTCTTTTCACCCATCCCATCCTCTTCCCTCCTCTTTCCTGCACTCATCCCTCCCCCACTCAATGTGTCTTCTTGCTTTCCCTCTCTCTTTGCCATCCCCCATTTGCTTTTTTTTTCTCGCCATTTTTCCTGCTGCCTCTTTTGATTCTCTTGTTTGCCAGACGGGGGAGCTGCGGACCAAGATGTCCCAGTCCCATGAAGACAGTCTTACAAGTGTGGCCTGGAATCCTGATGGCAAACGTTTTGTCACTGGAGGACAAAGGGGGCAGTTTTATCAGTGTGTAAGTGGATCATTGAGGTCGTTCTTTCTTCTTTTTTTATTTTTTTAGTTTATTTGACTTGTTCAAAGACTTTCCCAGTCATGAACCTTTTTAAAGTATCTATGTTTCTGTGATTTTTGAATTAGCAAGCTTGTGTGAATGGCAATTTCTGCAAATGCTAGGGGCTTGGAAATGACAATTTTAAAGAAAGAACACGGATCACCTGTTAATGACAGTCGTCGTACTATGCTTTTGTCTGTTCTCGTTTTCCTGTCAAGAGTAAGGGATGAGGGATCTGCTGTCTGTGTTGTCAGGACCTGGATGGTAACTTGTTAGATTCCTGGGAGGGTGTGAGAGTGCAGTGCCTGTGGTGCCTGGGCGATGGCAGGACAGTGCTGGCCTCGGACACCCACCAGCGTATCCGGGGCTACAACTTTGAGGACCTCACGGACAGAAACATGTATGTATCCTGTGTATCTTTTTAAAACCAATTTAAGGTGGAAACCTCATATTAGATATATACAAAGTAAACTGTCAAAAGGTCTTATTTATTTTAAATAAAGCCAACATGTCCTGGAGGAAACAGCTTTCCACATTCTTTACTGTTCCCTAGTCCTACCTCATTTGAGTTATTGTGCAGAGTTATGGGACAGCAACTACAGAACTTCACTACAATCATTAATAATATTGCAAAAAAGAGCAATTGGAGTAATCAATAAGGTCTGTTATTTGGATCATACAAACGCACTATTCATAAAATCTAAGCTGCTAAAATTTGTTGATATGGTGGAATTACAAACGGCTATTATCTTGTTTTAAAGCACAAAATAATTTCTTACCAGGAAACATTCAAAAACTATTCTCAAAACAAGAAGGACTTAATAATTTAAGGGAAAAGCGTGAATTTAAAACTTTAAAATTCAGAACCACAAGAAAAAGTTTTTGCATATCAATACGTGGGATGAAACTGTGGAATGGTTTAAGCATGGAAATCAAGAAATGTCCAAACATAAAACAGTTTAAAACGTCATTTAAGAATATGAGCATCACTGCATATCAATATGGGAAATAATGACTGTTATTACTGCTATTATCAATGTTAACATTTAATGAATTTATCAATTATTGCTGCATTATGGTATATTGATCTAGAACGAATTTTAACATGTTAAAAAAAATTATTGATGTTTGATCATAATGGCATACAAATATGAAGGCATTGTACTAGTTATAGATATGGATATATAAAATACTAACTTAAAAATAACGTTATAACCAAGTTACCCTGAAGAGTTAATTATTGGATGATGATATGGATGAAAGAGGGGTGAGTGTAACAAGTTTATACTTCTACCCAATCCTTTGAATGTGTACATATACTGTTTTTTTTCTACTTGCTTTTGTTTTAAATTTATTTTCTTTTCATATAACTTTGTTTATTCTTTTATTCTACTACGTTCAGTAAAGTTAAACTCAAAGGTCAAAAAAATCAATTTAACTGGAAATTATGAACTTGCAAAAAAGATTTGCCGTCAGTAGTTTTAGAAACTACAGAACTGTTTATTATTGGTTTCCTCATCAGCTGTTTTATATGTGAGTATTTGATAATCTGTCACTTCTTTACCTGTTTTTACAGAGTTCAGGAGGACCACCCAATCATGTCTTTTACCGTTTCAAAGAACGGGAGATTAGCTTTGTTAAATGTAGCAACTCAGGTAAGCCTTTGACTATCAGTAATATCTATTTATGTGACGCAAATGTGATTCTTAAAGAGCATAACCGTGGTGCTTCAGCAGGAATTGATGTTCTGTAACTTTTTTTTAAAGGGAGTGCACCTGTGGGATCTTCAAGATCGGGTGCTGGTGAGGAAGTACCAAGGTGTGACCCAGGGCTTCTACACCATCCACTCCTGCTTTGGAGGGCACAATGAAGACTTCATCGCCAGTGGCAGCGAAGGTACTGTCAGAATACTGCTAAATACTACAAGTGTAATAAAAAGAAGACAGTAAATGTATTTCAGGCTTATGTGTGTTCTCGCTCTTTCAATCAAGATTCAAGAATTGGGCTGTGCTGGTCGGTTCTTTGATGGTGCAATTGATTTGGCACCAGAACGTCTTCTTTCAGTGTGGGGGGTTTTTGGGACAGTGACTTGACAAACAGTACAGATCTCCCACTAGAGTACTGACTGATTTGAACCAGACTGGCATAAATTTGTTTTAATTTATCTAAAAATATTTCTCCCTGGCGTTAAATCGGTGTCAGAGCAGCTGAGAGATAATAGGCCAAGTTGTGGTTTACATGTTGGCTCTACTTACAGGTGCTGGTCATAAAATTTTGATCATTTTGGTCATTTTGATCCAAGATGGCCGCGCTCAGAGCAGTTGCAGCTTCACAGGCTCCCGGTACCATCCCAGTTTTTAGAAGTTTTGATATTGACTCTGTGCCTGACTCTGCGCGATTTATGCGTGTGAACTATAGCCGAACCGAACTGATGAGAATAGGAGCGGATTTGCCACGAAATATAGCAGAAATCGGCAACAAACTCAAAGCTACGCTCGGCAGAATGCAGATCTTAAAGTCATCTACCTGGAAGCTGCAGCAGAGGCGTTCCAGCGGGCAGAAGAGGAAGCGCTGCTCCCGGCTTAAGAGGAGAGGATGCCGGGCGGGTTTATGGTAAGGCTACAAGTTAACGCTAAAGCCGGTAAACTCCCCATGCCGTCTCTCTTTCTGTCGAATGTCCGCTCGTTGGACAACAAGGTGGATTTACTTCGTCTGAGAGCGGGCGCCTCAGAAGAGATGAAGAAGTGTGCAGTGCTTTGCCTCACGGAAACGTGGATTACAAGTGAAACGCCGGACTCAGTCTTCCAGCTGGATGACAGACTTTTTTTTCGAGCGGACCGCTGCAGCGAGCTAACGGGGAAATCATGGGGGGGCAGAGTGTGCATTTACGTGAGTAAAAGTTGGTCCACGAACTGTACTGTTGTAAATAGCTCATGCTCGAAGGCTTTGGAGCAAATAACAGTGAAATGTCGGCCACATTATCTACCCCGAGAGTTCACAGTGACTTTTATCACAGTTGTTTACATTCCTCCGGACGCTAATGCTAATGAATCACTACAGGAGCTTCATGATATCATCAGCTCGCTGCAGAACAAACACCCCGAGGCTCTTTACGTTGTAGCCGGAGACTTTAACCACGTGAATCTAAAGGACTGTCTCCCAAGCTTTAATCAGCATGTGACGATTCCGACACGTGGAGACCGCACGCTGGACCGTGTTTACACGAACGTAAATGACGCATACAAAGCCGAACCCCGCCCCCACCTAGGACTGTCAGACCACATCTCAATCTTCCTGGCTCCTGCTTACATGCCCCCGCTGAGACGCTCCAGACCGGTACAAAAGAAAGTTAAATGTTGGAGCCAGGACAGTGGCCCCATACTGAGAGATTGTTTTGATCGAACAGACTGGCAGGTTTTCAGAGAAGCTGCTGAAAATAGAGGTTCGCTTGATCTTGACCAATACACATCCTCAGTACTGGGTTACATTAGTACATGTACTGACACAGTCTCCACTATCAGAAATGTTAAAAGCTACCCAAACAGAAAACCTTGGCTGAATGCAGAGGTGCGTACCCTGCTGGAAGCCAGGAACACTGCCTTCAGGTCTGGAAACTCAGAGGAGCTGAGTAGGACAAGAAAAGAGCTGGTTGCTGGTATTAAGAGGGCCAAGGCCACATATGCAAAGAGGATCGAGGGTCAATTCATCTCACAAGACCCTCGGAGCATGTGGAGGGGCATTAAGTGCATAACAGATTATAAAGGAAGGAGTGAACAATGCCCCAAAGACCCATCTCTGCCTGATGCCCTCAACAAGTTCTATGCACGCTTTGAAGACCCAAACAGACCACCCAGCACCAGACTCACCTCGCCACCGGATGAAGAGCATCTCAGCGTGACCTCAGCAGAAGTAAGGAGTACCTTCAGGAGGATTAATCCGCACAAAGCAACTGGCCCAGACAACATCCCCGGAAAAGTGTTGAAGGAATGTGCTGATCAGCTCTGTGAGGTGCTGGCAGACATCTTTAACACCTCACTTACCCTGGAGACAGTTCCCACCTGCCTGAAGACTGCCACCATCATCCCAGTCCCAAAAAGCTCTACAGTGACTGGTCTGAATGACTATCGGCCAGTGGCCCTCACCCCGATAGTCGCTAAATGCTTCGAAAAACTGGTCATGACTCACATCAAAACAACCATCAACATCAACGAGGACCCTCATCAGTACGCATACCGTGAGAACCGATCAACAGAGGATGCAATCTCCTCTGTGGTCCACACTGCGCTCAACCACCTGGAGCAGAAAAACTCTTACGTCCGTATGCTCTTTGTGGACTTCACATCCGCCTTCAACTCCATGATCCCCCAAACCCTGATGGACAAACTATCCACACTAGGACTAAGCCCCTCCATCTGCAACTGGGTACTAGACTTTTTAACAAACAGACCACAGTTAGTGAGGATCCACAACCTCTCCTCCTCCACCATAACCCTCAGCACTGGCTCTCCTCAGGGATGTGTGTTGAGCCCCCTTCTGTTTACTCTGCTCACATATGATTGTGCAGCTACCCATCCAGGCTGTCACATTGTAAAGTTTGCAGATGATACAGCGGTGGTGGGATGCATCACAAACAATGATGAGTCCAGCTACAGGCAAGAGGTGGAACACCTGGAGAGCTGGTGCAGAGAGAATAACCTTCACATCAATGTGAAGAAGACTAAGGAGATGATTGTGGACTTCAGAAGGAACAAAAACACCTACACCCCCCTGAACATAAGAGGATCTGCGGTGGAAGTGGTCTCCAGCTACAAGTACTTGGGTGTACACATGAATGACAACCTCAGCTGGAGCAACAACACCACCAGCTTGATCAAGAAAGCTCATCAGAGACTCTACTTCCTCAGACGGCTGAGGCGAGCTGGTCTGGGAAGCTCAGTCCTCACCTCCTTCTACAGGT